TTCCTCTTCAGTAAAAGGAATCTCAAGCCCCTCTCTTTCCAACTCAGAAATAGCCTCGTAATGGAGACCATTAAGTTTAGGTCTCCAAGCTAGCAGCTCGGTATAAAGGTTCTGATAAAAAGAAGCGATCCCATTTCGCACCTTTTCCTCCCTCCACAACTCCACACCTTCCACCTGAATTCATCCTTTGTGATTACTCTTTCTATGAGCATTAGCGAGTCTATGAAATTTTTTTGTGTTGTGATCTCCTTCCTTTAGCCATAGAGCCAGGGATTTTTGTCGCCACGATATCTCTTCCATATTAGCAATCTCAGCAAAAACTGCCTGACAGGAGGCTCTTATAGAACGTAATAACTCCACATCCCCACCCGCCTCTTCAAGACAATCAATCTCAGAAAAATCAGCAAGGACTTTATTCTTCCTCCATTCAAGATTCCCGAAAACATCCTTATTCCACTTCTTAAGATCGAATTTGAGAGCCCTTAACTTCGTAGTTAACTTGTAGCTAGGTGAACCTGTAACAAAAGCTCCCTCCCACCAAAACTGAACTTTCCCTTGGAAGTCCTCCGCTCTCAGCCACATATTCTCAAATCGAAACGGGGACCTTTGGGAACACAAACCGCCGCAATCCAAAACCAAAGGAACATGATCAGATGTGACCCTTGCTAAAACCGCTTAAACGACATCTGGGAATTTCTCTTCCCACTCCCCAGAAATAAAAAATCGATCTAGCCTTGAAAAAGTGACTGGGTCCCTGCCATTTGACCATGTGTAGGCTGTGCCTTCCATTGGTAAATCAATGAGAAGATGCTCGTTAATGAAGTCAGAAAAATGATCCATCTCAGAAGACCTCCTTCCTCATGTGGACCTCTCTAATGGGAATCTAACAGAATTGAAATCCCCACCCAAACACCAAGGAAGAGACCACAGACATTGAACATGGTAAAGCTCTTCCCAGAAAAAAGGTCGATTATTATCAACAACCGGTCAATAGACCCGAGTAAAGACCTATCTGAAGTTGTCCTCTTCCAACTTGAACTCGCAGGACATAGAGAATCTCCCCACCCACACGTCCATCCTAGACAGCCATCTACAATCCCACATAACTAAAATTCTACCCGAACTACCTGTAGCATTCAAGGCCTCCCATTCCACAAACCTTCCTCCCCATAAACTCCTAACCACCCAATCATAAATGGATGCCAACTTGGTTTCTTGCAAACAAACAACCTGGGCCCCCCATTTCCTTAAAGCTACCTTTACCACCCTCCTTTTATTCGGATCGTTGAGACCACGAACATTCCAAGTAATAATTCGTAGCTTTATTAAGAACCAGATAAGATAATCTCCCCTCCTCCCTTCCCCAACCTCTTACTTCTAGTCCTTCCCCTCTCCCTCACCGCCCCTTTCTTCCCTTCATAATTGATGTAAGAGAGAAGATTCTTGACCTCCTGTGCTCCTTTCCAGGACGATAAAGGCCTCGTGTTCGCAACCTTATCAGTCACTGCAACCTCTTTTCCTTCCACTATTGCTTGAAGAATGGATAGTGTCAGGTTACTGTTCCCCTCTGATGAAACACCCAACAATTCACTACTAGCTCCTATATTTTCGACCATCCAATCCTTTCCCAAATCTGCATCCATTTCAGAAGTACCAGGTCGCACGATAGCCAATCGTTCCTCCTCTATCACATCAGAATAGTCATTCTCCAGCCAAGGGACAAACTCATTGGAGCTAACTTGTTGGATGGAAACCAAATTAGTAGTCACCTCCTCTTCACTTTCTCTTCCTAACTCAAGCAGCTCTATCATCGAATTAGAATCTATAATGTAATCTCCCATTCCATTACTCACGAATCTGACAAACTCATTCTCCTCAGCCCCTACAGGTGGCAAGCAAATAAGGCCTTTCAAGCTACATATAGGTGGAGTTCTTTAAGCAGAGCCATAGCTGACTCATTAGACAACTGGAAACAGAGATCTCTCCCCACACAGACTGTAACCCCCCTTGATGAGTCTTGAACTGCACAATTAGCTGGGTCAACATGCCCAGAAGTAACGAACTTGCAGGTAACCTTCCTTTCCGTAACCAAACCGTGCTCAACTTCAGGTGCCGAAGGCACAACTGTTGACACACAGTTCTTCTCCGATGTCGTCTCAACATCACCTCTTACTGCCCCACAAGAAGGAGTAGAAGAGGAAGAAGGGGTAGTGAGAGAGTTTCGGGGGTGAACAAAAGACATACCTGGGTCGTTAGTAGAGGTCCACTTCTGTTTATCTTTTCTCGACTATTTATTAACATGGCGATGGCTATGAGAGTCCCGAGATGAAAATCTATAGCTTCTTCCCTTCGGCGGTGCATTGACGGGTAAAGACGATTTTGAAACATCAGCAAAATGCTGAACATGACGAAAAACTTTCTCATCTATGCTCTCACCAGCCTCGTCGGCACTGAGATTCATCCATCTCCTCTTCTCCGGTGAAGTCTATAAATTTGCAAAAGTACCATGAAGAAGACGACTCTGTGAATGATCATTGATGTTGGGTTCAGTAGATGGGTTGGGCTTTGTATTAAGAAAAGAAACAAAGATCTGGTTATTGGGCCCCAGGAAACCTTTCATTTTAAGTCTGAGCACATTTGGTGGCCCATTTCGTGACTTAACAATGAGATCGTTGCGGCTGGGCTTGGGTAAGGTCTGTGGGCTGGGCTTATCATTTAGAAAGGAAATAGATAAATGGTTGCTGGACCCCACGTGACATTCCTCATAATATCCTTTGTAACTTGTGGCCCGTGACGAACTAACAGCCCATTATTCATGGGTTTAGCAGGTCCAGTATACAAATCATGGTCATACTTAAGCCCATCTGAAGCCACTGCTTGAATGGTTCCTATGATGCCACGTACCTGTCCATGTGGTTGGTTACCATCAAGGCGATCAAACCGAAGATTTGAGTGGCGCTGATGAAGGGCGTTATGTGTGTGTCTCGTGAGTCTGCTTTCCCAACTCACAGCCGGCGCGTTGACGGACGCTCTTCTCTTTCCTTGGGATCCAAGATGAATCTGCACATTTCGGCGACGTCCACCATTAAACACTCCATCAAACGTGAGGTGGGAATCCTCACCAACACCATAATAGGACTTCGAAAGGATCCGAGGTGAAGTTTCCTCGATCAAGTTGGCCTTGAAGGCCACTCGCTGGTCTCCTATGAAGACATAATCTAGCATCTCAACTCTGGCAGAGACATAGAGAAGAATTCTCTCGCCACTCGCCAAATCATCCGCCTCCACACCTCTGAATCCACCACAAAGGTCTCCAATGGCTTCGAACAGCTTTTTGGCACCAGAGATGAAGGGGCAACCCAAACAACATCACCCTTCGTATCCTCTCTCGATCTTCCACGGCTGAGTAACCCACCGCAAAGTACCACTTGTCGATGTATAAAATAGCTTCTCCCCATCTCTTCCTCCCTACGTCCAAAACCCTTCGTGCTTCGGCCTTCGATGGTAATCGAAACAAGAAAAGGTCGTAAGAAAAGGTCGTCAGGTAGGGTTGAGACCTTCACCCCACACGAAATCTTCCAGGACTTCGCCGCCCACTCCTCAATCCCCTTATTACACCTCACATCTCGATCAAAACGGCCAACCAAACAAGATTTCAGGACAGATTCACGTTCCGTAATACTTTAGTGATCAACCCTAAAAACCACATCTCTGCCAATTGAACAACTTTTGGTATCTCCATGGAAATTGAGACGTGGTAGAGTCGCCACTTTGAGATACGAACGTTGCATGACACTGATCCCTACCAAAAACCAGAGATCCGGCACCAGAAAAAAGAAAAAAAAGAAAAAAAGAAAAAAAAAAAGAAAAACGACAAACACCGGAGTAAAAGACTCCGACCTCAAGGAAGGTAGAAAAAGTTGAGAGAAAAGTCAATCATTAGTCAAATAAGCAAAAGTCAATAGTTTATCAAAAATAAATAAATAAATCAACATATTATGCAAAAGAACCCATATAGGTTATTCATATCTTTTACAATGCCTCCAAATCATTCTTTTAGTATTATTCTTTCAGTTTGATATAGTTTTCTCAGTTTTGGGTGCAATCAGAGGGCAACGATTAATGCATCTTTTCATTTCAATAATTTTAATCCAGCTCAAACATGTTATCTTGTTATTGGTAGTAGGATTGGGTAGCCCATTGCAATGCTTAACAGGAAAATGCTTTTCTTAGGCAGTTATTAGAATCTAAGCAATATAATAAAATAGCGAGCAAGGGAAGAATGTAAAGTAAAAAAACTTGAAAAATAGATCTGGATGAAGTGATTAAAATACAATATGAGCAATAGATCATAAAACCTGATAAAAATCTCTTACTTTACTTTGGGGCTTATATTTCACCTCCTAGAGTATCATATTGGATTAGCATTTCTGGGTTGACTTCTTGCCATTATTATTAGCTCTTCCCATCTTCAACTTATAAAATGAGATCCTAGCCCATTTTTACTTTTTAAGAAAGCAAGTTCTACTTGCTTTCATTTTTAAGCCGAAGATAAGAATTAACTTTAAAAGATAAGAGTCTTGGCTGCCTGCCCCTTATCCTTCTCAACTTTTTGGCAAAAATCTTCTGTTATGTAATGTTTCCATCTCTCTCTCTCCATTTCTTTCTACATCTTAAGTCTCTATATTTATACACGTAAAATGAAAAAGAAGTCATTTTGTTCCAAATAGCCATAAATCGCCTCGAGCAAGGCTTTTTACCTATAAAATCATGAACTGTATCTTTGGTGCATTTTCTCCACCAATTTTAAATAGTGCACTTCTAAGACGACCATTTTTAACTGTCTTCATATTTGTCCTTGGTTTCTGTGCACAAATTGACTCTCTTACCTCATTAATATTATTGCTCCAAACATATTTTTTTGTGATTGTACTACTACCTCAAGACTTTGATCTTGTGGATATTGAAGCATAGCCTTTTTATATATATATAATTTATAGGTCATTGCCAAAAATATCAAGAGAAGATTTTGAGTTAATATTTGACGAGCTGGATGATAGTCATGACTTCAAGGTAAATTTTTTAACTTTTGATAGGGTTTTCATCTTTTTCTTCTCCATCATCCTTTCATTTTAAAATGTGGAAGAATCTTTGTTATCCAACTTTTTATACAATTTTGTAATATGTTTGGTGGTTTCTTTCTTGAAGTTCATTTTTGGGGTTTGCATTCTAAGTTTGATTCTGCTTGCAGTCTCGTTTTGGTGTATATATGTTTGTCTTGTTCTTAATATGTTTACGTACCGCACATGAAATTTTGGTTAAATATTTTTTGATATTTTATTAATTCATGGAAGCTTCACAAAAGGTTAGAGAACATATTTCAAATATATTGATGTTCTGAAAAGAGATTCGTTGTGCTGCCCTGAGAAAATCTATAATAATGCATATCTGAAAAGTGTGTTGCCAGTATCCCCTTGATACTAGCAGAACAAAGGCTTCACCTTGGTTGAGAATAAAGTTCTGGAAGCGTTGAACTGATTCCTCCACAAAATAAAACTGGACTCCTTAGTAGGCACTTGGCAGTGATTAAAGGTTGTCCCATTCTGCATCTTATGGAAGTCACAGAAGGGTTGACTCCATTATTCTCTCTGGAATATGTTTGTTTTGGGAAATGCAGATTGTGAACAAGATAATTATTGCCAATAGATTCATGGACTTTACTAGAGTAGAGATTGTAGTCCTTGTTTGTAAGATGGACGTCGATTTGGCTCACAACATGCCATTGGGAGTGCCTTTTACCAGTTTATGGAGCATGGATTTAGATTTCAGTTGGAATTTCTTTGACCAGCCTGCAGAAAACACGATTAAACTGCTTATCCCTGGTTACGTGGAATTCAACGTGCAAAAGTTGTATGTTTTTGTATATATCATTCCAAAAGAAGTATTTGATTTAATTAACCATGATTGTTACAGTGAAATAGTGCTAACAGTTGCACATAAATAAAGTTTTTACATAATTACTGAAGAGAAAAGAACATTTTCTTTCTGTCAAAAGAACATCTTTCTCACTCTTTACTTGTTTGGACCGCTAAAAAAAAAAAAAAAGATAACAATTTGAAGGTTTAGTGGAAGGATTTTTCTGTATTTTATTTGGCGGTTCTTGGTATTTATTTGACTGTCAAATATTCCTCTTTTCAGTGGAGTTGAAATAGGATGTTTCTATAACTAATGGAAATTGTTTTCAAATGATATTTTGGCTTTCTTTGTTTTCTGTGTTGTGCTTATTTTTTAGTTACTACGTTTCTGCACACATCCCTTGTCCTATGTTTTCAGTGGACATCTTACTTGTTTGTAAACTAATTGGAGCATTAAAAAAATTATGTAGTTTTATCATTTATATCTACTGATTTTACTTTCCTTTTTTCCTGATCATTTAATGGACTTTTATTCTGTTTCTATGTAGATTAATTTGGAAGAATTTGCTGACCTTTGCAATGCCATTGCACTACAATTTCAAAAGGAGGATTCAGTTAGTGACTTCTTCTAGTACTGAGAGATATCTTATACAACTTCTTATGAGAATACAGAGTAACGTTTATTCTGCATTTCTTATTTTTGTTTGCTATTTGCAGAAACCCTGGTTCGAAAAATTTCCAGCATTCTACCATTCTCCCCTATCTGAAAAGTTGAAAGCCTTTGTTCGAAGCCCAAAGTTTGAATACATAATAGTCTTCATTCTCCTCATGAATCTGGTTGCTGTTATTGTCGAAACAACGGTATGACTCAAATTTGTGGAAATTGGAGTTTTCAAGAATTCTGATCAATATCCAAATTCATTTGGTTAAAACTAACTGGTATCAACAAGTTCATTCGTGGCTAAAATTCACTTTTGTTTTAAAAAGTAGTCTGTGCTACTGTGATACATATACTTGCAATTGCTAAATGATTATGCGACCTTTAGATGCCATTCTTTTATCAAGCCCAATGCAAGAATTCATGAAGATGGTAAGTGTATGGTAGTTGTGGTTTGTTTCTGGGTCTTCAATTGCCTTTTCTTTTCTTTTCTTTTTCTCAAATAATTAGAAGGATAGAATTAACTAAAGGATAAGGCATGCAAAATATTTAGGAACAGTCCTCAAGAATCATCACATGTGAAACAAAATGCGGTCAGAATTATTCCGTTCATGGCTTCAAAAGGACCATTCTGAGTTTTAGACACTTCAGCTAGTTGGAAGATTTGATGCCAATGCTTAGTCTTGTCCCAACATAAAGCAAATTAGCCCAGCTCCTACGAACACTGTGCGGCCTTTAGATCTCTTTGAGAAAAATACTCTCTACATTAATGGCATCCATCATTTTTTGAGTAGGGATGAAAGTAGCCATATTTTTAAAAATATATCAACTACTACTAATATAAAATCAGCGTGAATCTGAGTTGGAGGAAGGCCATGCAATAAATCCATGCTAATAGCTTCCCAAGTTCTATTTTAAACTGGAAGGGGCATCTGTAAGTCTGCATTCGCAGCTGCTCATTTTAATCATTGGCACATGACACCTTTCCACATACCTGGTAACATCTCCAGCTCAAACTCAGGTAAAGGAAATACAATTTCACCAAGTTTATGCACTGCTCAAAATGAAAATAATTTCTTTCACAATAGCCAAAGTTTGCTTAAGAGTGAAGCTTTGTTGTTTTCTCTAATAGTATGGACGGTTTTGGAATGGGCAGCCGAAAATTTGGATGAAATGAAGCTCTAATGGTGTCTTGAAAATGTCAAAGAGTCGTTCTTGTTTTTGGGTACTAAGTAATTAAGCTTTGGATTTACTTATGCTTAAGTTAGGAAAGTGGTTAAAATGTTATTAATGATGTCTGGGGATTCTAAAAGTCATTCCAGGAGAAATCAAGAGTTATTAGTAGTTATATTATATAAAGGACAGCCCTCTTTATCTGCTGTAACCAAGTCTTAATCAATATCATTTTGAGATATTTTCATATTATAAACTTCTCTCAAGGCTTTTCCCAGATTTGCTTTAGAATCTAGGTGTTGATTGGAGTAACTCTTTAAGTTTTTCTTACTGCTGTAAGAAGACTTCTGTTTTCTTTCTGTTTGCTTCTTTACCATGACTATAGGTATGGGTAATGTTTTTGGGTTCTTCCTTACAATTAGGAAAGCAAAATCGAATCCCTTTGAAGTGGTATCTGTCAAATATGCTGTAATCATAATGCTGTAGACACAACACGTATTAGATCCAAAATAGCTGTATTCTTCATAAATCCTTGAAATTATCAAGTCTGTGCAATTTGCTCCAGCATTGCAGTCAATAAGAGAGCACCTAAAGCATCAGCATACCTGTGTTATGCACATCGGCCTCATGTTAAGAAAACTGCTTTGGAGAAACCCATCCACCTATTACGTCTTGGCATCATGTGCTGGTTTACCCTTTCTAAAATAGCTTTGAATGTGGACCTCAATATGAGAGGGACTAAATGATTCTCTTTGTCATTTCAATATTATTTATTTTGAGTTACTTTGCTAAAAACTGTTTCTTTTATGGTTGTACAATTAAACAAATATGACTAAAATTCTGGATGATTAATTATTGTGAATTTTACGTTCTTTTTCCAACATCGTTTAGCACTTATTACTGATTGAATACATGGGAATCGTTTTATTTCTTACATACATGATCATGAATGATGAAACGTGCTAATATTTGTTACTAATTGAGGTTGCAGCTTGATATAGCGAACAATTCTGCTCAATCGGTTTGGCAAACAGTAGAGTTTGTCTTTGGTAAGAGCTTGATATATCTCTGACCTTTTAGGGATTAATTCTGCTGCTGATTTATTTTCTTTATGTAGAAGTATGTGCTCAAATATTGATGTACTAACTCATGGAAATTGTTTCCGCATTGATTATTTTAAATTTACTTTTGTGATACACTGCTCTTGAGCCCCTTGATACCATAAATGGGTGGCTGTCAGATGATGATTTACATATCATGCAGGCTTGTTTACTCATTTTTCCCTGTTGGAAGATACAGTAACAAGGCATTCAACCTACTGATATTTTAGATATAGTTTCTTTGAATTTTCTATGTACAACTTTCAAACCCAAACAGCTGAGATTGACATGTTTCAAAATTTTGTTTTGGTGTTGAATTTAATTTCTTAAAAGATGGCATTATGGAAATTGAAATGGAAATGGAATGAACTTTTGTGATTGCATGGTTGCATGGACAGGCTCTCATGTTGATGAATAATTTTCCCTTGCACACTTGTAATTAAAGTGGAGAGATTTGCTGAAACATGCGCGTCATTAAAAAGGTTGCAGGTATACTTGATGAAGTAACGTGATCCCGATGCAAAGACATATAATACTAACTGTAGAAAAACATGCTGTTATATAACTAAATTAGGTTATTGTGAAGTAAATTATGGAATACTAGTTATGATTGTTACCCAGTATATCACTCTAGAGGGGGGGTGAATAGAGTCTTGACAGAACGATACCAATTAATCGGGTTTATCTTATTTAAGCTTTACAATTAATAACCTTTGAATGCACAAAAATAGATATTGAAAAACAAGCAATACTAATAAAGACGTAAAGTAAAGAGAGAGAGATGCAAACTCATAACACCAAGATTTAGCGAGGTTCGGAAACTCCTACTCCTTGGCTCAAGATCCCTCCTGAGACTTCCCAAAACCCAATATGGCTTCTCCTGAAGGGTGGAGAGCAAACCGGTACAAGAAGCACACCACTTCTGAATCTTCTTGCTAAGAGAACAAATCTCTCTTAGACTTCTTCTAGGTTACACCAACCCGTACAACAATTCTTGAAGAATACAATTGAATAACAAAGAAACTCTCTGAATTTGGTATGCAGATCAAAGATCACAAGCCTATGGCAGATTTAGAATATAGCAAAAGGTTTAAAGCTCAAATGATATGAATGAGACAATGATCAATGCAAGTTTCTTTTTGATCACAAGGTTTTTCTCTCTGAATGTAAGAAGTGTATTATAATGAAAACCTTGATGTGTTTATATATAGGTTTCAAATGGCATTAGGTAGGATTTAAAAACCTTGCCAAGAATACCGTTGCAGGCAAAAAAAAATCTGACTTTTTGCCTATCTGATCGATCACATGAGTCATCTGTGCGATCACTTGGTTTCAAGCGATCAGACACATGCTTCATCTGTTTGGGCAGTTGGAGCATCTGATTGGTTAGATCATGGAACTGGTCGGTAGGATTAGATCCTATTTCCCCGCACTTTCTAAGTTTTGAATCATCTGATCGGTTACATCATTGATCTGATCGATCACTTGGTTAAGTCACAAACTTTCAAGTTCACTGGATTCTTCATCCTATCAATAGTATGGAGTGATTTGATTGATCACATCCTGTCATCTGATCGGTTACATGGGTGAAGTGATTGGTTACATGATGTTCTCATAAAATTGAAACTTCACTGTTTTGGCATCCTATCGATAGTATTAGGTGATCTGATCGATCACTTGGATCAATCTGATCGGTCACATCACTGAAGTGATCGGTTACATCAGACACCATATTTTTCATTTGATCCATCTATCTGATTGGTTACTTTTGCCATCTAATCGGTTAGTTTGAGTGAGATTTCTTAGTTTGCATGAAGTATGAAATAATGCAAGATGAATGATAGTTTGAGCTTTAAACCAAAGGCTATAAACTATCTTGCCTTACATAAAATCTACTCTCACCATTCTATACTACCCCTGCTGATGAGATATGTTCTCCTTTGTGCTTTCCATTCCATGTTGTTTCCATGCCTTGTTCTTAATGATGTTCCTGTTTTGCTGCATCTCAATATAGATATGTTAAATGCACTTTTCATCTTTGTTTGTAATCATCAAAATAGTAAGAGGGGTGAATTAAAGGCATTTGTGCCAACAATGATTATTGTTATAACAAACAGCCATGAACCAAGAAACAATCGCAAAACACGACAAAAACAAGCACCACACAAGACACAAAGATTTACGTGGTTTGACACAAGATGTGCCTATGTCTACGTTGATGATATGGGGAAAGAATTTACTATGCGAAAATCAGGAGATTACAAGTTTCAGCCCCCAACCCTTCGCTCACTCTCTTTTATGTGGTTTTCAATGTGTCGCATTATCCCACTTCAAATCCTAAGCGCCCTTATATATCGGGCTACAAGAGAGTACTAAATAGGGTCCACGACCCGCAAGCGAAAAACAGGTCACTGTGTGCATATGAAATTGATAATTTTAGGCTCGGTGTTGGATTTTGGTTTTTGGTCAGAATGAGTTTAATCTTCAAATATCTAGTATTTTTTTTAAGATTAGGAGAGGATATATTCTGTATTATTTGGTGAAAATGATTGTAGTTTCCCTCCATTAATGAATTCCAAAAATAGTGAAATATATTTGGTAGTTTAGTATGAAAAGTAGTTAGAGAATTATATGACAAAATGGTCCGGAAACTTGTCTAGATATTGCTTTATAATATGAGTGTAAAATAGATTACTAATATTGACTATTGTCCCATTTTTTTGTCCTTTGAGCACTTCCAGCACATTTTTTTGGGTGTAAATATTATTATAAAGTCTGAATCAGCTTCTCACCACTTTCCACCAGGTCTCAATAGTATGGCGTCATCATTACAGAGCTTAAGTAACTTCTGTCTTTCCCATAAATTAGCAAGGAGATCTTTCTAATATGCACATGTTTACATTTATGAAATGATGTATCACTGCTGTCACATTGTTATTTTAGTTGATGTTAGGATTTATTGAGCCACATTATGTCCTGCAGGTTGGTTATATGTCCTTGAAATGGCACTGAAAGTCTTCGCCTATGGGTTTGAGAACTATTGGAGGGAAGGTCAAAATCGTTTTGATTTCATTATCACTTGGGTTATAGGTAAGTTATATAAACAGTTTTATTTCCCCCTTTTATCTCTCTTGTTAGGTTTAAACAGGTTGTGTGTTCTTTTTTATTTCACTTGTTACAGAACCATACTGGTTTGACTTGTGCAATTCATACGAAAATTCCTGGCAGCTAGAATATGAATATTTCTAAATGGATATAATGCAAGCATATCTCAAGGGTCCGATGGTTAGGTTTCCTCCTTTGTGACCTGTTACTTGGAATAAGTGGTACTTTGCATTTTTAAATTTCTTTTGACGTCGTCTAAACTCAACTCAACTCAACAAGTAGTTTCCAACCACGCAGGGTCGGCTACATGAATCTTGTTTTTTCCATTCTGCTAGGCCCGGCTAAGTCTCAGGTGAATGAGTCACTTGCCTAAGGCCTCATTTGGAACAGATCCACAATATATATATATATATATATATATTAATTTGGGTTGTATTATTTGTCTTATTTGTATTTGTATTTTTTTCTTTTCTTTTCCTTTTTAATAAATAAGTAAGATTAAATGTTCATTTGGAAAAGGCCCCATTTGGAGATGAACGATCTCTGGTTTTTTTATTGGTTGTTTTATATGCAATCTATCTAATTCATGTAGATTCATTTTAAGAATATACGTAGTACAATATAGTAATACATAAATTATGTATTGCAGAGAATGTATAGCAATATAAAAAAGTTGCTTCTACATCTGTTACATCACTCATGTCTTTTTTTTTTTTCCTTGTAGAATTCGTACTTAGTAACTCAACAACCTAGACTCTTGAATATCACTTTGTTTTCAAACAAGAAAAAAATACCATCATAATTGTCAAATAATAGGCATGAACATCACTAGCAATCAAAAAATAAATAGTAATCTCTTGGGCGTGAATCTTCTTTGTATTATTACCTGTTATGTATATTGAGGTAATTTAAAATACTTCTTGTTGCTCTTAAGAATAGTAAAGAATAAAAGTGATTGTAGTGTAATATGTTGTACTGTTCAGGCAGATATGTGGGTGGTGTTAGTGTACTATGTGTCTCAATGCAGCTTTTTGGTCTTGTGGATATCATGTGTACGTGTATGGGGTGGTAGGGGGTTGCGTGAATCTTTGATGGGAGTGTGGATTATGGCACATCAGTGTGAGAGAGTGCATTTGATATGTGTGCAATATGCGTAAGTGACTCATAAACCACTTAGGAGTGACGAGATTATTTGGAGGTGAAAGTTTGATTGTGTTGGTGGTGGTAGAAGTGGCTATGGAATTACAGTAGTGGAGGCCTCATATAGAATTTTCACCTTAGGCCTCGAGTTATATTGAGCTGGCCCTGAGGTCGTACCCTCAGTCAAACTACACGTTATCATATATTTCCTTACTAACTCTATCCATGTTAATTCTTGTCTTCTCCTTCTCTTTGCATCACCCTCAAATTTCACCTAGTGGTCTTGCATACGTTCAAACCATCTTAATCAATTTGCTCTTATTTTATCTCTAACAGGTGCTACTTCTAACATCTTAGGAATGTGTTCTTTTTTTATATATTATTACATCCCTCTTGTCTTGCCGCACATCCATCTCAACGTTCTTAGTTCCGCCACACCCACTTTATGAGTATGTTTTTTTTTTCTTAGTTGTCCAACATTTTATCCCATAAAGACTGACTGGTCTAACTGTTTTATAGAGGGATCTGCCGATCACACAACATTCTAGATGTACGCCTCCATTTAACCCATCCTGCCTTGATTTCATGATTAACATCATCTCCAATTTCTCCTTCATTATGAATAATTGACCATAAATAGCAGATTAATTCCCTTTTTGGTATCTTTTAATCCGTAATTTTCACTTCTTTCCTGTTTTTATTTTTAGATTTACTAAAGTTCCACCCGATTTATTTACCTTTTTCCCTACTCATCTTAAATCATTTTATTCCTGCTTACGATGTTGTGTCAATCACCAAAATAAATAAGAGGAAGCCTAAGAAAATTTTGTCAATAATGTGTGGCGATTACACATGATGATGAAATTATGGAGAGATCAGCATGAAGCAACATGGAAGTTAGATACGACTCCACCAATTATTCTGTAATTTTTGTTCTTTGGCCTTTTTCCCATAACAATTCATGTGGTTCTTGGGGGAGATGGGGCTCTACCCCTGCTCTCGCTCATTTAATAGAATTTCGATTTATCTAGAATCTACTATACTCTGTGTGTGTGAGAGAGAGAGAGAGAGAGAGTCAATGTAATTAATAATGTGAGAAATTCCTATGCTATTAAAGCATGCAATAAAGCATCAGATGTCATAATGTAAAATATCACTGAAGAGGAGTTGTATGCTTAAGGTTCTTTTCTTTATATGTTTAATGAAACAAAAAAAATGCCATATAGGAGTCTCTTTTTTACGACAGAACTACTGGCAAAGATAATGACATGTTTCTGAAAGCATTAGAAGAAGAATCTTGCAGAAAAGGAAAGAAAGGGGAAAAAAAATTTAGTGGTTAATTTTATCTGTAATATATATTTGAATTTTTGGTCTGTTTATTAGTCCTAAGTTTTGTATGTTAATACGTTCCCCCCCCCCCCCCCCCCCCCCAACACACAAAATAAAGAAAACGGAGATCATTATCCTTCTCAGTCTTGTGTGGAATTTGGTGTGTGTTGTATTGTAGATTTAATGGATGACCTTTGTGTTTGCAGTTATTGGAGAAACAGCAACTTTCTTGTCCCCCAATGGACAAAATTTTCTTTCAAACGGGGAATGGTAGGGACATCTTACCTTCAGAATTTTTTGCATTATCAGTGTACATAACCATGTTCTCTGATGGATATTTATACTCAATTGTTTGAATGTTTATTTTTATTCTCTTAGGAGTCATCATGTTGAATTTTTAAAAGGTATTAGTATATATGTTCACAGTTTATTATAATTTTTATAAAATAAAATAAAATAAAATTATTGATTTTAAAGTAGGAATTTCATTTTCCTTAATAGTATTCTACCTAGTTTTTATTTAAAACAAAAAAAATCCACAGAGGTTCAATATTAATGTTTTTGCATTGACCATTACTGATGCAATTGTGGATAAAGAGGATGATTTCTTGTAGTAATGCGAAAACCCAAAAAAGGTTAAGAATGAAAGAATGAGACTGAATAAAGTAGGCATTTGATTCAACATCTTCCAGTTTTAGCAAATTCTTCTTTGGTTCATTCTTCAGATATTTTTGTGGATAAGGCGAATCAGTACCAGGATTGGGTTTTGTAATTGGATAGCTAGGATTGATCTACTCCTGTAGGAGAACCCTATAAATTCTTTGCTAGTTAGGGTCTGGATTATTATTGGGATTGTGATTTTCTACTAAAATTGCAACTACAAGAGCCGACTTCTTGTTGGTTGCTTTATTTTCGTTGTCAATCTTGTTGTGAACGACAATTTGATTGTCCTTTCTTAGTAAGGCAGCATCAGGTTTGTTATCAGAGCCTTATTTTTGGCTTCCCAATTGCTCAACCATGCCCTCTTGTCAACAACCAAGAGGAGGACTTTGTAGAATACGGGTTCCAACCCAACCCTTGCCTGAAGTAGAGTCTGTATGGAGACAAGTCGAGATGTTGACCCTAATTCGCTAAACATATTGTCAACCTGTTGGTTAACAATGATATGCCAGTTAATGATAACATTCCGATGGAAGATGGTGTGTCTGGCACTGGGACTATCTTGTATAATCCATTTTATGTTACAAGTAGCAGTAGATCACCTGATAAGTGGATTGACCAATGTTTGGAGGCAATTTCAATATTGAGATTCCTGAAGGTTGAGGAGTTCAATGACTGGTGTATTTTCGAATACCATGAGATACCCTATTGCAAGAAGGGAAACCTCATTGGAAATTTTTTTGTAGGGAAGGACATCGGCATTGTGGGAACAATTACTGATTGCCAGGGTGTGTAGAGGCAAGTCTAAAGAAAAAGTTGAAAGAGAATTTTATGTCTTCTAATTTTTTTTCAATGTACCGGTCTTTATATAATTGAAGGCAAGAATCCACAATATGGAAGATCATACTGAACAATTATAGCATGCAATGATTTATTACAGAAATTGAGAAAACAGTGTTAAAATAGAGTGCTAAGGACCAAACAAAAGGGGCTAGGTTAAAAAGGTAATTCCAATATTTAAATAAGTAAACTAACCAGTCAAAGGGCAACAATGCCATTTGGGGTGTCTTTGTTAACTTCATTAAACCTGGGAGTGTCATTGTTCAAAAAGGGGTCAGGTTGTACTTGTAACTGCCTGTAATAAACCCAAACCTCAGGGGGTGTCACTGTAAATTACCTTTAATTCTTTTTTTAATTTTACACAGATGTCAAGTTTTAATTGGGACACATACCCTATAAGAAGGAACCTCTTATATGGCCCAAGGCAAGCATTGTCCTAGTACAAATGTTGTCAAAAATGTTGATGTGTAGCCAGTTTTCTTTAGCCTCGTGTAGTGACTTTTGCATCAAAGAGATTCACAAATGTTACCATAAAGAACATCTCCATCATCTCCCTTTGAGGAATCATCAAGTTCAGCTTAATCTCCGGGCCTAACTCCTAAGTTGTACCAACTTCCTCCACCAAAAGTTGTTTTCCTTTATTGATACGGTTGCTGTAGTTTTTGAGCACTTCATGAACTTTTGTTTGGCCTCCCTACACATATAAAACCTTAACAAGGTCTCCATTGTGATTTTGGGCACTCACCCAAATTTTGTCTATTTCCGACATTGGAAGCCTACTCTCGCTCCACTGACATGTGACAGCTGCTGTCCTGCAGTCTGAGCCTTATTTTGCACTGCTGTAGGGATTGATTCTCCTCCAAAAGTGGACCTCCATCACATGAATGTGTTTCTATAGCACAATGCTTCGTTATTTTGTTGTTTTTCTTCCATTAAAGCTTGTTAGTGAGCCTCTAAAATAGACCAGAGCAAATGTTAATAGGTCTTCTCGCATATAATGGGTCTTAATCCACTAACATAGCATGCTGCCACTAACCTCTACACACCCTGGCAATCGGTAAAAATAATAAAAAATAAACAAGGACTTCAATCATAAGCTACTCTTTCATAAAGACACTGCAATTCAGTTTATTAAATGATTCAAAAATTTCTGAATTATTCAAAAAGAATTGTTTCTGAACGTTTTTAATCATGTGGGATGAGTCGCTACAGTTGCTTGACTAGGAAGGTTGAGGTCACAAGGCCACTGAATTCTCCGATTAATTAAGTAAAATTCGAGGAAAAACATTTCTATTAGCATTCTGCATCGAGAGAAATTATTACATGGTCAGGTATCAGAGGATAATGATAGTTTCAGGCCTCCACTTCAGTTAGTTTCTTCGGCAACTATAGTGTTACTCTTGAAAAAATCTTTGAGGTAGTGCCTCTGAGAAAAATAATAATTTAACCTGCATTTGTCTTGCGCGTCTTGGACTTGAATTCTAGTCCTTATTATAACCCAGTATAAAAGGGTGTTAAGGTGAAGTTAAAAAAGAAAAAGAAAAATTAACCTGCTAGTGGTTTGGTCAATTTATATATGTGTGTAAATTTATTACTGAATGCTACAGTAATTGTTGTTGGTGGTGGTGGTGATGGTGTTGCTTGGTTTATTAATGTGAGAATATGTTGTTAGACAGGGTTAGTTTGGTCCAATAAAATGACTTGTAAAGGTTAAAAGCTAATTCCAATATTTAAATAGGTCAACTAACCAGTCAAAGGGCAATAATGTCATTGTGGGTGTCTTTAAACTTAAGGGGTGTCATTGTTCATAAAGGGGTCAGGTTGTATATGTCTGTAATAAACCCAAACCTCAGGGGGAGTCACTATAAATTACCCAAGAATAAAAAATGGATTATTCGGGTCTCTTTTGCGGTTATCAAAGAAGATACAATCTTTTTTCTCTCTACCCCACATCTGAGAGACGTCACGCGATTGTTTCTCTCTCTACATTGTCATGAACGCCTCTCTCTCTCTCTCTCTCATGCGTAAGACTCCATTGTTGCCCAACTCCTCTGTTCCAAAACCCTAATCTCTATCCTTGTTTTATGCTACCAACCCCCTCCACCTCCGTTGCCTGCCATCTCCTCCATTCTCAAATCCCACCCCTTTGCATTCTTCAGTCTTTAGAGATTTATCAATCTGCAGTCCCATATATGTTGAACCCCATCTGTAGAGCTAGTGTTCCCACTGATAAAGAAGGAAACCCAATTAGTTTGTGCATGGTTGCCTTGTAGAATGAGAGGAAGAAGAACTTTGAATTGAAGATGGAGTTGGAGTTATTCTAATTAAAGCTCTGAACAAGGTGGTTTGTGTTCTGGTTTTGAGATTTTGATCAATTTGCAAAACTCTAGCTGCATACAAAAATTTCAAGATCTATCACAAGCTGTTGTCATCCAGAAATTTAAGGTTAATGTAGAGAGAAAAATAATTGTGTGCACTCTCAGACGTGGGAGAGGAGAGAAAAATTATACAATATCTTCTTTGATAACCTGCAAAAGAGACCCGAATAATTCATTTTTAGTTCTTTTTAATTTTATACAGATGTCAAGTTTTAATTGGACCACGTACCCTATAAGAAGGAACCTCTTTTTCATATGCCCTAAGGCAAGCATTGTCCTTTGTACTATTAGTGGTAAGATCTGCAATACAATCATTAATGGAGGAACCTGTGTGAACTTAGTACCTCAAGAAGTTGTGGAAAAAGCACACTCAAACTCAAGAAGCATCTAAGGCCTTACAGCAAAGGGAATAAGATGAAGAACGAGTTAAGATGATTTTCATGGATGAGCCGCACGTGTTCTGAATGGTGATAGATTGAGGTAGTCTGAGAATGCAAGTCCAGTAGGAATGGATGCTCATAAGTACTGATTTCACCAATTGCAGTCTGCCTGCAACGGAGAGAGCTAAGTGGTAGAGATGACAAGCTAACCACACACACGCACAGAGAGAGAGAGAGAGAGAGAGAGAGAGAGAGAGAGAGAGTCCGTTCAGTTTAACATCAGACGTGGTGCGAAGCAAGTCGCCCCTTATTAGGGAAGGATTGCAGGCATTTCATTAGGTTTTTTTGCCTTTTCCTTGTTTCTTTCTTTATTTCAACAAAAAGCGTAACGCAAGTGACAAACTTTGTGGGTTGCATGTGGCTCAGAAAGAGCAAAGCAATGGTCAGAAAGTCTCATCTAGACCAAATTCTGAACTTGCATTTAAGGAAGTTAAGGAATGTTCTGCTCCTTCTGAGGTTTATGGAAGATTTTGGTATCAAATCATCTCCTTTCAAGGATGGTAATGGTTTATGGGCAAATATCGTTGCACCATGGACTTGATGAACATTTGCCCCTCACTTATGCCCCTTTTGGAGAAGCCTGTTATGCTCAGCAGTGAAGTGTGCGGGTGCTTCATCTGCAAGAAGAGAACCTCAAAATATCTGAAGATGAGCCATCTTCCTAGATATCAGTGACTAAGAAGATTTTTTATCATCTTGTCCTTGGCCTCTTATGTGAAGGATATGGATACTCTTCTGTTTTCTAAATAATAATTCACTTGGACCCGAAAGAAGAATTTTTGCATAGACCCTCTCTTCTTTGTTAGAAGTTAGAACAAGGAAAACAAATACCCTATAGGAGAGACAAGGTCTCACTCCTATTGAAACCTAGTTAGCAAAAGAGGCTTCAGTAAACTAATTGAAAGCTGATGTCCATGTTTACCGACAAGGCTGTCTATACCCATAAACGCAAGTATAATCAAAATCCTGGATTGGAAAAACTAGTCTGATTCTAGAAATTTAGAGTTGTTTGTCTTTAGGGATCATGTATTCTAGTTATAATGTCATTCTAAGGTGAGCTTGTGCTGAAGATTTTTTACTAAATCAATCAGTTTGTTGGGACTTCGCAAGAATAGCAAAGGAAAATCTAGTCCATAAGATACTGCCTATTTCCTTGAAGCTGGAATTCATATTCCATGTGTTACAGGGGAAAACATGACAAAGAAGAATAAGAAGAAAATGTAATAATAATTACTAGATTAAAATTTCTTATAAAAAAAAATGCTAGATGAAAAAGTAAAGCTCGTTGTATTGTAAGTTTATGGCCCACACACCAAGGACTCCACTGCGAGTGAATCTGCATATACCGTATAAAGTTAATAGTATCTCTATTATTGTACTGTACAAGGAAATATGTATTGAAATATAACGCCTTGTAACCATATATCTTCAATTGGATGTAAATGTGCTTATTCGATTCTGCAAAGCATTTCTCTTTATGCAACTTGATGAACCCAAAGAAAATAAATGTGTGAGATCGCACGAGAAAGCTTTATTGGGGAATATGTGTGCCTTTATTGGTTATTTATGAGCCTATTTCAGAACTCGAGGAACGTAAGAAGAATAGAATCATTTTATTGAGTTGTGTTCCTTCCGATGTCAGGAAAATCCTTAATTTGTTAATAACTGTTATTGTGTTAAATAATTAGCCTATTGTCTTCACGTGTTAAGACATTTTAATTTCTTTTCCTAATTTCTTATTTACAGGATCCGTTATCTTCTCCTTGCAAGATTGTTACGATTAATGAGGCTTTTGATGCATGTCCGGCGTTACCGAGCTTTTCTTGCCACATTTTTAACCCTCATACCGAGTTTAATGCCATATCTGGGAACCATATTTTGCATCCTATGCATCTATTCCTCTCTTGGTTTACAGGTACATTAGTTCCATCTGCACCTGACTTCATTCTTTTGTCTCAACTTCCAAGTGAAAACATAGAAGGCTCTATGGTCTCTGTCATCCCAAATTTGTGCTTAGTGTACTAAAATGAATTTTTTTCCAAGATTTTACTTTTAGATATACAGACTTGAGTTGTCATTATCCCCTTACTTTGAATTTGGGACTAGTATTCAAATTTTGATGCCATCATTAACTTCAACCATGTTTTACTTATCAAAAAAAAAAAAAAAAAAAAAACCATGTTTAGGTTTTCTTTTTATGAAGATGGTAAATAATTTGCTGGACACGTCTTGCGGGAACCCCAACGTTATTTCCACAGAGTAACTTGAATATTTCTTTTGTCTTAGTTGCTGTTGCAGCTTTGTAATTTTGTTTTGTTTTTGTCTCTCTTTTTTTTTTTTTTTTTTTTTTTTTTTTTTTTGTGTAGATTTTTGGTGGGATAGTTAATGCTGGGAATCCCATTTTGGAAGGAACAGGTCTTGCTGATGAAGAGTATCCTTGCATTAACTGCATTAACTCTTTAAAAAATACCAGTGATCTGTATTACTAAATTTGATTGGTAGTCTTTCATATCGATTACTGATAACTATAATATTCTAGAAAGATGCCATATTATAGAAAATCAAACAGCCAATGGTTCCAGGAGACCTACATCTTCATGTCAGAGAATTTTACCAACACACACATATATAGTTGTGAATTTCTCTTGCTAAGGTGTTATTTCTATAATAAATTTCAGTTTCTTGAATCTCTTTTCTTAACAAGGTCAGCTATTTACTTTTCAATTTCAATGACTATCCAAATGGGATGGTGACACTTTTCAATTTACTAGTAATGGGAAACTGGCATATGTGGATGCAGGTATCATTATTCTGTCATGATCTTCTTTATCTTTCCTTCATTCATGTTTCTCTATGCATTACTGAAGAATATCAACTTGTTTTAGCTATTCTGTTATCATGTATGTTTTACCTACTAACTATTGAAAATTTTCTCCTGTATTGCCTTTTCTTATATATTTTATATTAGTTAAGGTGAACTTATGGGTTTCATAATATTCAATCTTTTTTCTACATATGATTTTGGTAAATCTAGGAGTATACTCCATACCTAACTCATTCTTAGTTAAAATTAAATTTCAGATACCTGAACCTGATTAGTTACCAATCTTCAACGAGTTTACATCACATAGCCGGCAAGTCTCGCTTTCTCTACATATGTATATTTTCAGTGTCATGTAACTCCGTAACATACCGTAGCCTGTGCCTTTGTCAATAGGAAATGTCTAGCGGCATTGTGCAGCAGAGCGCCAAACACTAAATTGAGTAGTACATCCCGAAATTTCGTTCAACTTTTCAGAAATAGAGACAATATGGAATTTATTAGTAGTATCACTGGTCTTCGTTTCAAGTCTGAGAGCAATCTTTGTGCAAAATAATGTCAAAAGTTCTATTTGTCTCTAGTCTTCAACTCCCAGCATAAGGCAAGAAGCCAGGAGCAACACTTGGTAATGGTATTTATGAGTTTTTCTTTTATTCTCTATGGTCACTATATAAATATAATTTCCTTATGATTTATATAGAATTCGCAAGAAAGTTGTTTTCTCTAGAAAATTGTAAACCAAAAAGAATATTTATGTATAATATGAAAAACAGATTTTCTGAAGGGAAGGAGGAGTGAGGGGGAGGGGGGAAGTGAATTTAGTGGGTGGCATGAGACCATAGGGAAGATATGCATATCTGTAGAGAATTTAGTGGATTTTTTGGATGGCATGAAACTATAGGTTGTATTCTTTAGGTATAGTTGTTTCCGGGATGTGCTTCCTTTTGAGTGCCTTTTAATGAAATTTTACTTATCAATATAAAAACATGATTTATGAAATTTCTCTAATTGACTTGATTTCATCAGTTAACATTTAGTACATTCAATATCGTGGCTCCCCATTGGGGCCAAATATAATGTGTTAAGATGTGTAAACTTTGAAAAGCAAAATTTGGTACTTAATTCTTTTCCTCATGATTACATATCGAACTCCATAGTTAGTACTATCGACTTCAAAGCAAGGATGTTCTTGACATTTCTGGAATTGAGGGTGGTAGGAAACAATATATGTACTGTATGTACAATATGATGGCTTTTTTATTTTTTAAATTGAAATAGAATGGGACTTGGAGCTTATAATCATGTCAGGGCTTTTTTATTTTTGACAGAAGGGTAAGAGTTCAATAAGGTCACTTAAGGTTAATACAGATATTTGGGAAAAGAATATGGGAGTGGATTACGTTACTTCTTCACTTCTGTCACTGTATTTTGAAGAAACCTTTTGGGTACAAAAGGGAAAATTTTACCTAGGTACCGTACTACTATATGCTTTTATTGTCTCACTTAGCAAAGAAATGGATTAAGTTTTTGCCTCCGTTCCTTTCGTTGAAGCCAATTGTTTTACAAGATGGCAATCTGCTATGGTGTGCGAGGCTTCTCTTGAGGTGAGGTTTGAAGAGAAGACATTGGAGTTCAACTTTGAGGCTTATGCCTCAATTTATTTGAAAGTACTGTAAGTGTGTAAATCTTTTGCGAGTATAAGAGTTCATGTAGCACCAAGTACAATCCAGTGCTGAGAGCATATATCTTGCATGATAGCAATGATATACTCCTTTTGTGTTTGGGTTGTTACTTATGCATTTAAGTAGCAATGATATGCTCCTTCCATTCAATGTGTTTTTGTCAATCTCAGAAATCAAATCTTTGAAGGAGACAATGGTTAATGCATTCACGTTCAGTTACAAAAGTACCAATTGCCAGAACTATCCCTCTTTCACACTAATCAATGCATTTATATTACATGTTAAAAAGGGTACCTTAGGGAAGTTGTGAACTACTGTACATCGACTTTTCAAAGTGTACAATCATTGTGGACATGCCTAAAAGGAAAGTGAACAAACAAATTGTCACAGAGGGAGCGCATGTAACCAGAAACAGTTCATATCTGCAAAACTTCACTAGTCCGTTCCTAATTTAAGCTTTTCTTGAGCTCTATTTTTACGTTTTAACAAATTTAGTGTGTTCCGTAGTTATTTCCCCAATGGATAATAGAGGTTATCTAAAGCCGTTGTCTTGTGATGTTTCTGTAAGCATTTTTCTGCAACCATTTAGTGGAACTGTCGTCTACTATATATTGCAGCAATTTTCCCTCGTGTCCTAAGAGTTAAAGTGTGTGTAAATATAAGATTGTGAGGCGTAGCCTTACACCTTGAAGCTGTTTAATGCCTCTCTCTCTCTCTCTCCCTCCCTCTTAAAGACATTGATGTTGGAAATATAATGTTGATGTTTTACTTAAATGCAAAGATGTGAAAAAGAAATATTTAGGAATTTTGAATAATACTGATATTTAAGGTAACCAAAATGCACATGTGGTGTCAGAATATATGTGTGTGTGTTATGTTTTCTAGGAAGGGAAAAAAAAAATAATAATAATTCTACTATTGCCTTGAAGAGTGAAATGAAGCAATTGGAAATGAACAGTTAATGATGACCAAATGTGAGATTGCTTGCAAAAGACTGTAAAATGGGGGAGAAGAGCAAAATTACATTATAGAGTTAAAATATATTAATTACATTTCTTGAAGCCCTTAACTAAGGATAAGGCTCTTGTTAGACCAGATCTATTGAACAGGATTTGTGTTGCAGACGGCAAACTATAAGGACAAGGCATAGTGCAAATTAATGTGGATGGTATAGTAGAGGGTGACAGGGTTTTTTTTTTTTGTCAATATCTGGTATATAAGTTAAACAAACGAAATAATGAAAATTTCTTGTGGCCAGTTTATGGAAAGTTTATCTATTTTGTGAAATATTCATATAATGGTTTCTGAATTAACATCAGGACCAAAATTCGTTTTAGTTGAAATGATTTCTAGCTTAGCTTTGTGGGGACAATATTTTGTGCGAGTTTTACATCAATTCATCTTGCATGTCACTGGAGCATATATGTTATTTGCAGCATTCTTCTGACCTTTTAGAATGCTCAACAACAAGTATGCTTGGTGCAATTGTAATCACCTTTTGCACAATTGCTCTATTAAAGTTATCACGGTGCAATTAACCAAAGGTGTCTATTAATTGTTATTATGTGTGACATCACTAATAATTCGAGGTTTAACATTTCAGAGCTACAAGGAATTGACGGGAACAGCTTGGACTTATGCCTACTTTGTCAGCTTCTATCTAGTAACAATTCTGCTGCTTTTGAATTTGGTGAGTCTCTGTCAATGCTTCTCAAATACTTGATTCCTTCCTTGAGATGTTGCAAAAACATAATTACTTAAGATGTGGCAATGTGTTCTAGTTTTGTCTTCCAATGGTTGGTAAATACTGGTTCTTAAGCTTTGGAGTTGAAGGAAGGACAGAAAACACCAGCTTGTTACTTGGGTTGACCACAAATATCACAAGTGTCCAACTTGGTACACCTTTTAGGGAAAGGAATTTTTACTCAGACCTTGACAAAATTATCCCGTATTTTTCATCTGCCAACTCCATGGATTGAGTCAAAATCTTTTCCGTGACAAAATGGCAGTATACCTCAATGTGCCCAGTCTCCTCCCTATATTTTGTCACTTGTCTTCATGATACCAGTTTTCAGTTGACACGCGGTACAAGAGCATAATCTCTGCAGTTGCACATGCTGTTTAAAGGATTTTCTTGTGGAGGAATCAGTATACCAGATCCAGTGTCTTGCCTTATGAACTGGGTGAAGTGCACAGTGTGTATGTCTAGTTTAAATTGCTACTTACCTGAGCCACTGAATGGATGTTACCGCTGATTAACTCAGGCCACTCTTATGCAAAGCGACTCAAACCCACCTATCTTCTGGGTTGTCCACAGATGACCAAAGATCAGCGGTCTTGTCCAATTAGGTTCTTGATCAATAAAATAAAATTATAATTGTCTGCCACATGTCGATGACACCAGCTATCTATAGCCACCTGAAATTTTTTTCCATTTCTTTGCCCTTATAAATCCATGCCTATTTTCTCAAACCCTAGACAAAATTCTAATCCTTCCTTGCCACCAATGCTCAACTGTATGGAGCTACTTGTCCAACCCACCTTCCCGAATCCAGGACTTTGACCACTGCCATGAGCACTGTTGAAGGACCAAGAAACTAGGTTATCTTGCTCTATGTTTGACCAGTAATCCAGACCCCCCAACTCTCAACTGTCAGAGTAAGCATTAGGATAGTTCTTGTCAGACAGCTGTAGATGTGAACTAGGTCAGTGAAACAACACACACACACAGCACACACCCACACGCGTAGATTCATACTTACAGTTATAGACACATATTAATTATTTGAATTGCATATGTTCTGTATTTAAGGGTTAACGTATGCATCATTCATCTGAACTTCGTGGAACAACTTATCATACAACATGCATTATATTGCTGGATCTGATTTTTGTTCGCTGTTCAGATTGATCTGAATAATTTAGTTCACGTGCATGAAACTTTCAAATATCTTACTTATTAATTAATGACGTATCTGAATTACTAATCCGAATATGTTTTGGCTTCAGAAGTGTTTACCATGTGCATGTTAAACTGTTGTTCATGGTGATTTTAACCATTAGAATAATGCTGGAAAAGAGAAAGAAATTTAAAGAAATCCAAATCATTATATGTTTTGGTTCCATTTTCGATTCTGCTAATCATAGATGCAAACTTATTTTATATGGACGGGCCAAAAAAAAGAAAAAAAGAAAAGAAAAGAAAAAAGATTAGATTTTACATAAGGAATTTCATTTAAGCTCTTGTGGAACTTCAACTGCAATATATGTGACTTGTGATCCTGTGACCATCTCCCAACTCTTTTTTTATGTTATTCCTTTATATGGCGCAAATCATGAATTTCATGGGACAATCTGCAATAGTAAATCAATGAAACAATATTAATTTTTTTATGTAATTTCAGGTTGTAGCCTTCGTCTTAGAGGCATTCTTCGCTGAAATGGAACTCGAAACTTGTGAAGAAGGCGAAGAACAGGGCAAGGTTGGTACCAGTAGCAAGCTCTTCTTTTTCAAAATTAACAAAATGTGCATTCCCATCGTATGTCCCACCTACATGGAGTGCTGGGAGTTAGACAATCCTAATATTTTTTTGCTGTCCTGAAACTTGAGCATGCTTCCTGAGACTTGTCAATTTTGACTTTTTAAGAGTGAATGAAGCAGTAACCCCTAACAATATGCCTAGAGTAAAACAGAAATTGGAGCTCCTTCCTGAAAACAGGTCACAAAGTAGCAGTTGTATTCACTCTCTTTTGTTACAATTAAATTTAATAATGCTGCCAGTTTGTGGTGTCCCCGAATGGTATTACTGGAATGTTTTAAGAGAAATTATATAAGAAATCCTTAAAAAGTAAGCTGACTTTTCTATGTGTAGCCTTTTTTTCCCCCTTTTTCTTTTTCCTTTATTTTTTCCTTTTTTCTTTTATTTTTTTTATGAATTTTAGGGTAACAGGACTTAGGTTAGTATATTCGTGAATCAAAACTAGAGTTTGTAATATAGTTTACCTCTTGGTCATGATAAAAGATATAATTCAAGCTTCAGCCAAGGGCAAAAGTGTAATCTTCAACACCAACAATACAAAGGTAAGTTGACGTGCATTCATGTGTTGGGGTTTTAAGAATTCATGATTTGATTTTGTAAATCGTAATTAAAAAGCATAAAAAGTTTAATTTCCTTTTAAAAAATTAAATTTTAGATTCCTGAGTACTTCCGTTAATCTAGGACTACTTGAGTCATGTCGAATTGCCTTGATCAGGAAATCAAATTCCTTTTCAGATTGAGCCATAAAATTCTGTTCTCTCTACAAGTTTGATTTGGCTATAGTTTGCTATCATACTACAAAACCTATGAGACAATACAATTTACACAGAGATGCATAAGTTTGAGTTATTTTATGCAATATTACGTGCCTTCATATATTTTTCTTTTAGCATTCATCAATTGCATTAGATTGGTGACTGTTAAATTAGTGTTTTGGCATCATAACTGCTGTGGAGCTAATTACACCTAGATTCTCATTCAATCAACCAAGATTGGAGTGGACGACTAGTCTAAAGATTAGAATTGCTATCGAGGTAGCAGATTTGTGAGGAGCAAAGTCTTTTGACGGAGTGGATTGTGTGACTGAGCTACGTCCCATGGCTTTTCCCTTTTGGTTTTTTATATTATAGATCTTGGTGTCCATTATCCATGCTTTATACTATAATTTACTTCCGTTTGAATTGTGGTTATAATTAGCATGATGGATTAGTTGGTATTCAATAGTTGGCCTATATTGTAGAGTATATAATTTTGATCATAGGGATCAATTTCTAGTCGCATTAATTAAATTTGAAATTTCAATAATATTAGTTAAAAAATAAAAAAGGTGTTAAAATTAGTTAAAGCTACCATCAAGACCTATTTTCCCTCCTCTGGGTCTACATCAATGACCTTGCTCTCTCCATTAGAGCCTAGGATTTTGATCCTTATTCCATCAATGAATAAGAAAATATAGACATTATAGATGAGGAAAAATATCTGTACTAGAGGATGGAGGATGAGGAATCTTTTCATTACTTGATCTAGGTATCCCGAGAAATTTTTTATTTTTTTTCTCATTTGCACTGTTTAAGCATTGCGCTAAGAACCAATATATCATGTTTCACAATGTGCAGCCAAAATTGGAAATCTCCCTCAATCCAACAGTGATAAAGATCCAATGAGGAAGCTTTCCTACTGCCTTTTCCAGAGAGCTGAATATCTCATTTAAGATAAACCATTTTCCACCAGTCTAGATAATGAAAAAATGACACTACCATGATGGTCTATAAATAACACCACCTATTGTCCAATGACAAAGGGATGCGGAACCCGAAGTGTACACCTATGGAGTTACAGTTAACTTAACTATGGGGCAGTTTCTACTCACGAAGGGGAACCTCATTGAGCATAGAACACTAGGAAACCACTTTCCAGTGACTTGGAAGTACACATAATGGCATCCTAAAATTTCCTTAGTCACTGATTCCCAGAGAAAGGTTAAAATATGCACTTCACCCCGCGGTCTATTCCTGATTTTGGTTGTCACCAGAATTTCTAGCATTCCTTAAATCTGGATTCCAGACCACCCAAATCCAAGCTAAGCGTGCCCCATTTTGGAGAGTGTTGCCTCTGTTTTCTTTACCAAAACCACTATTAAGTGCTCACAAGTGAGGAATCTACATTTCTAGGAGACACTCGAGTTAAACCTGCTAGAGAAAGAAGTCTCCGCCATAAGAGAAGGAACAATGACTCTGGAGATGGCAGAAGTCTCATCACTACATTTACATTAAAAAAAACACATGTCCGTACTGAGAGTTTTGTATTGCATTCTATCTGAAGCAATTTATTACTATTAGCTTTTTCATGAGCCAATAATAAGTCCAAAGCCTCAACTCTGGAGGGAGCCTTGACCTTCAACTCATTGGCAACAACTCTATCATGATCCACAAACCAGTTCGAAGCCTTCAAAGGCATAGCATAGTTTTTGTTCGTAGAAATGTATGGTGCCACCCTTGAATTTCCTTCTGGTTGTCAGGAAGGAGTAATTTACACATCATAATATGTCTACTTGCTAGTCTTTGAAAGTTTATAAACGTCGAGTGATTAATTCCCAAATGGCAATTTGTTGATTCACGTAACAGAAGGCAACGTCGAGTATGCTATGCCTTTGTTGATCATGTATTTTCACACTAGGCTTTTTCTCCATATATTAAGCGGACTTTATTTGTGAAAGCACAAAATGGAAGTTTCACTCTTCAGTGGTTTTGTATAAGCGCTAAAATATAAGTTCCTCTGTAAGTGGTTTTGCATTTTCCCTTTTTTTTGGCTCGAGGATCTGAAAAAATGCCCAAGCCAAAATGAAGGGGAAACATCAGAAGAGAAGAATACAGCCAAGATCTTTTGTTTCTTTTAGTTGTTCCCCTTCCAGTTTCCTTTTTTCTTTCTGTTAATGCAAAATTTTCTAGTTCCAGGTCAGTAGTCTGCTGTGCAAGTCCATTTGGCACTGGTGAGGTACTTGTCCCCACTCATGAGTTATTAGATAATTGTTAATTTTCTTTGGACTTAATAACACATTTAAAAAAACTTTTCATTATTGATGAAGCACCTTTATTACAACCCGAACTTCAACCCATCAAACGTTGAAAAAATGTTCAAATTTTAGTCTTGCTACTTGCTGCATCCCAGTGGAACATGCCCTAGTGAAGTAGTCAATGCAGCATGTTTAGTTTTCGTTGAGAAGTGGTTTTGCTGTTATTTGAGAAGTTCTCTTATGCCAACCCTAACTTGTGGTAAGATCTAGTATTAGTTAAATGAAGTTCTTCAGCAAATATTCCCTTGCTTGTGTTTGTGTGTGCGCGTGTATGTGTGTTTGTGTGTGTACTTAACAATCATACTGAAGTAGTGTCATCTGCCTTTTGAATTCAGGACAGTGGTGGGAGGCGCCGTAATATTGGGTATGTATTGCTGAGTTGTCAGATGCAATATTATATTACATCCATTCTGGCCATTAAAAATGATCTGGATTGATATTCTGTTTGCTTGATGCAGCTCAAAAAGTCGGAGTCAGAGAGTTGATGCCCTTCTCCACCACATGTTGAGCACAGAGCTGACGCAGTGCTCCAGTCCATAAATTTGCTTCCTATCTTCATTCCCTGATTTGCATCTTGAAGTCTCCCTTTCATTTCCAATTTCTTCTTGCTCAGAGGCTTGATAGTTCAAAACTCTGGAACTCTAGTTATGGTGTGCAGCTCTCAGTAATTACGTGAAATGATTACCGAGAAGATAGTAGGGAATGAACATTCTGTGAAGTATCTGACACCAGGAAGGTACACAGAAAAATTTGCAGCCCGTGTAGGTTTACTTTTTCACTTATCCCTGTTGAAGATAAAGAAGTTTTTATTGCTGAATGGAAAGCATAGATTGAGCTGCAGCAGGGAATGAGGGACAACGCACTTGGATTCACAAAGCCGTTTGAAAATTCAAGCAGAGTTGCCAGTTGGTTTCAAATAAGATACATAATGCGTTTCATGTTTTCTAAACCTTAAATTACACGCAAAACTACACTAATGTATCAATTTGTGATTAAAGCTCTGCTAATCTCTCACCCTTTGTGGGTGCCTTAGTCAAGGTGCTTTGACTATGTTGTGTAGAACTTGCTACTTCCGTCAATAGATACAGTAGTAGTTCAGTTTTTACAAAGAATATGGTGTATAGGAACAACATATATGATAATAATAAAAATAAATAAATAAAAATAAATAAATAAATAAAAAGTCCTTTACATTAGAATATCCTCACTTTTCGAAGAAATATTCTCTCCTTTTTATTTTACCCCTCCCATCCTTGCGTTTTCCCCTTTTTTAGAACTTGGTGCATGTCTCATATTTTCTCATCGAGGCATAATGAGGAAGCAGACATAAATCAAGTACAGCCTAAAAATGTCAACTTGCAGTGCATTTGCAAGCACTGAGTTTACTATTGTTTGGATATTTGAGCTATAAAGCAATTTCTATGAATCAATCAGAGCTTCCAATTTCATAAACCGGCCATACAAATCAGTGCAATTTGACTTATCAACATTTTTCAAACTATTTCTTGCATATTTCTCCTAGCAACAATCATTTCCAACTTTTGTACTGTGAAAAGAATATAAACCCTATTTTTTAAGTTGACAGGTAGTGCGTAGCCACGTAATGTATGCTACTGAGTACCAGACAAGCAAATCTCTCTCTCTCTCTCTATATATATATATCATGACTGCAAAATATCAGAAGATAAACTAGATATCAAGTATGGGATGCCATGTACAAAGGACAATCTTGTCGAAAAAAAAGTGATGCACACCTAGTGGCTTTGGTAGACTAGTACACTTATGTATATACATCCATTGTTATTATAATTATTATATCATTCATACAGTTTAGCCCTAATTGCCATAAGCAAATACATCTGTTGAACATCCATGGTAGCCGTGGATTAAACTAAATATACCAAACATACAATCCCATGCAGAATCATAAGATCAATGGAAAGGTGGCACCTGAGCACACTAACAAGAAAGTCAGAATCATTAGAAATCTGATGCAATCAACTATACCAGAAGAAGTTCCTGTCTCATCCTTCGGAATACCCCAGCTTATTTACACCTGTTTAGAATTCCAAAGATAGACCCGGTATAAAATGTAACCTGTGCAGTGTCGCCAAAAATTGAAAGGAAAGGAAAAAAAAAAAAAAAAAAAGGCACTTAAATGGCCTAGACTGTCTTTCATTAGTCCCAGCAATACCCATATGTTACTGACTGCAATCAGCTTGGAAGACGAAACTGCTCACAGTCCTTGGACCCATTTTTGCAGAAGTTTGCAACAAGACCATTTATCATTTTTGCTACTGCTTGCTTGAAATCCATCGAGCAACTCTTTCCAACCTCACTAGCATTCTGGACACTTCCTTTGGCCACAGACCCTACTTGAGCACCCTCCATATAAGCTTTACATGCTGACAGGATATCATGTGCATGGAGCAGAAAATGACCGGCAACTAAGTCCTCAAAATGCTGAAGATAAAAAGTGAAATTGATAGATTTTAGTATTCGGAAAGCAGATAAAGAACAGCAAAGCACGAAATTACTCAGCATCGGTCTGCCGACAGAACGACTTGTATGAGGCTGTTTGTGTGCACCAGAAGTCTCTGTAAATAGGCATATTGCATGCTTGATTCATACAATAAGTAAAATTTTAAGTAACAAGTCGTGGAAGTGATGGGGTTACGCATTAGTAGTGGCCATCATGGTTTTGAAATTTCTAACTCCAAAAATAAAAAATAAAAAAAGATTTCTAATTATTTTTAGTGAATTTTGTTAAATAACCAAAAATGATTTAATACTGGTAGCAACTATCATTGTTGTCAATAAAAGCTTGCTATTTTTCACCTTCCACTGACTTTATGACCACTAATGCACTTGAACAAAGAAAGGTATCGAATGAAATAGGTTCAACCAACATTACAGTCACTCAATGTTATATATTGGTTAGTAATTAGTAACTTAATAATTTATACAATCAATCAACTATACAAAAAATTATGCATCGAAGAATAACCAACTATTTAAGATTGGCTACACAAATCCTATATTGTCATTTTTCTCTATCTAGGGCCACAACTCAAGTAAAAACACAAGCCATCAAATTTTAACTTAGAATCTCAACCAACGTTAGTTTCAGTCCTCCACTTCTCCTAGTACAAGTGTGTAACCCAAAATGTGGACCACGTCACTCTTCTTTATGATGCAGTTATCACTTTATCTCAAGATGATGCTATTTCCACTATCTAAAAAACATGTTCCATTTCAATTTTATCATTTCTTATCTTTCCGCACATTCATTTCAATAGCCATGCTCATCTTATGAAAATATGATTTCTTAACTGCCCAACATTTCCTGGTTATATAGCTAACTTATAGAATTTCCTTTTAAATTTAAAGGTATACATCAATCTAAATATGGTAGAAGCACCCATCCATTTAATCCATCCTGATTAATGTTTGCTTTTATATCATTTGACCCTCAATCTCACGATATATACTCATTTCTAGTTTTGCTAAAGTAAAATTCCATAATTCAATTCACTCCGGTTTATCTTAAAATATTTTGATTCTATAGCTTTTCTCTACTTCTTTAATTTAGCACTTATCCTTCCTCTAACTATATAATGTGTTAACATCCATCTACTCTAAATGCTTTAGCTGTTAGAGAGGCTGTAACTATAATATTAAATCCTCCAACACCCCTTACATGTGGACTTCTTTTGGTCCAACACGGGTTTCACTTTTAGCTATCAGGGTGAAGGTGAGGTTTGAACTTAGGACCATGCCTACTCTGATAACATGTTAACAAACATTTACTCTAAAAGCTTAAGTTTGTTACAGAGGTTGTAACTTAAATATTAAATCCTCTAACAATCTGCAAATAGAATACACCACTAAAATTCATCCAGAATATTTTCTTTAGTTCATCCACCCTAAAGTCAAAAGAGCATGGACTCAATGGAAAATCAAATAAATAAAAATTTAAAAGAATAATTAGTTAATACCAAGGATTAATTTTATGTTAAATCTAACTGAAAAGTTAGAAAATAATTCAAAAATAAATAAACATTATTGAGTTTCAATTCTTGGAAGCTTGTAATTCAGAATGGACACTCAAATCTTGAGTTTTCTAAGTTTTCAAATTTACGTCAATATAACTTGTAAGTATAAACTAGTTGACCAAGGTTTGTACCAACAAAGCCGTTATGGCACCAGAGCGACCATCATGGAGTTATATGGTCAGTAACAGGACATTAATGCTGTGAATCTGAAACATATACATATATCGCTGCGCAACAATAACAATTAGTAGCCGAGTGTGCTATGTGGCAATATTAAAATCTTGACTAATTACTGAAGTTTGACGTGAGCTTACACAAACTACACTAAAGCCTGCTTGACTAAACTTAGGTAGAATTTAATTTCTCCAACCAACATTAACAAATTTGATTTTTTTTTAATTTAATCAAATGTTACTAGAGAAAACTAGTGCATATGACCTATTATATCCCGAGCATGTGCTGCAGGACAGTTTATGCCAGGAGCCAAGCACAAACTAGTTTCTGTCAGCTTCGGTATTAATAAAGAAGCTTTTCTCGATATTAGTCTTGCTAGAACTTAGCTAGCAAGAAAATCATTTTCATCTCAAGTTCAGCTATGACAAACCAAGTTAGCCTCTTCTCATTAGAAGTCCCCATTACTCCTAAAAACACACCATTATATTTCCTGTTAAATACTTAGCAAAAGGGTCTTTATTATCTCGATAAATCAAATATCAACACGAGGAAAACGTAGAATAATGTTTAATCATAAGTATGTCAAGATCATACCTTAGGGGGCCTCCTCATTGTGTAAACCATTGTCTTCAAAGATAAAATAAACACTTCTTCATTGTATGCAGTGGATTTCTTCTCTCCCTCGGGCCCACCGTACATTTTTTCATACCCAGGCTCATTGAAGAAGGGCTTATCATTCAAAATCAAAGCTTGTATAGAAACCAAAACTTGCAGCATGGTTGATGTCTTCGGCATCCACATCTCATTTGTTTTACCAGTCCAAGTGTTTAGCAGGCTAAGGCAGACTTTCCCACAATCATACAGGTTTGGGTTTAATCGAAGGCCACCGGAGTAGTAGTAGACCATCTAACAGAAAGAAGTCCACAAAACTAATTTCAATTGTTTACATTGGAAGATATTTTGATACAGTAATTAAAAAAGGACATTACCACCTAATACATACCGGTGGTATATCAGGATAATTAGGAGGGAAGAGAACATCAAAAACGAAAAGACCATCATGGTAGGGGGTCCCCGCTGGTCCTACAATAATGGCTCTCAAAAGATCCATCCTTGTTTCATATATCCTTACATATATTGTATCTGTAAAAGTAAAAATAATGGGGGGGAGGGGGGAGAGATGTGGAAGTAAAATATAATGCCCTAACATGGCAAAAAAAAAAGAGAAAGTGATCTTCAAACAAAATCAGTACTATTGCAATTTGAGTGGACACCCACATTTATTATATATACACACAATCATTGATTAATGTGCTTAAACACTATATGAAGGATTATTTTGCCAATAATGCCACAGACAAGTTAAGGTGAAAACACTGCAATACTTTAATGAATTGTATACTTAATCCACTTCAAACAATGAAGCTTACATGTCATATTTTCGAAATATATTATTATTAGTGGTAAAACATATAAATGAACAAGCAATCGGAACTCACCAGGTAAGTCCTTCTCCAGAATTTTCCATTCCTCCTGAATTTTCTTTGTCCAATTCTTGGGTGGCTATCAAGAAAAGATCACAGAGAAGATTACATAAATGCATGCATACATATGTGAAATATGCACACTCCATTACACACACAATCACTGGCAGATGTGGGCTTGAGTGGGCTCTAGCCCACCAAAATAAAAAATAAAAAAAATTATTACTATTTAAATTTCAGTCCGGCCCAAAATTTTTTATTATTATTACTAGTATTAGCCCACCCCATTAACAATTTCTGGATCTGCCCTTGCACACAATGGTAAAACATGAAATGTGTTAACAAAAGCCACCTGCTGTCCCGAAAAGCCTACGTGGCAAAAGTGATGATCTGAAAAATCATCAACAGTATCAAACCGTTTGAAAAGTTCATACTTCCTCAGAACATCATCTTTTTCTTCTTCCTCTTTCCCATCAGAACTCAAGTCTGCAGAGACTGTTGAACTGCTTGCACCAGCAGCCTTGTTTATGCTATTTTCAAGATCTGGAAACAAAGAGACAGACATCCTCACCCCTGTTGGAAGACCCATGGTATTGCTCTGGGATGAAGTGCTCATAGAAGCTGGGACATTTGCATGGGGAACAGGTTCCTTCAACCAAGAAATCGATGCCTCTACCCCAGGAGGCAAATCCACATTATCAAATTGGTCTTGCATTTTCTTCAAATAATCATCATCGTCATTATTGCCATTATCGTCGAACATATAATCATCGTTATCATCATAATCAGAAACATCATCGACATCATTACCATCGTCAACTTCACCATCACCATCATTATCATCATGATATGACAGATCTGAATTCAAACTACTGCAATTCTCTGAATTAACAGCTCCAGATTTCGATCCTGCAAGACTAGTAGAATTTCCAATATCCTTCACCAAAGCCTCCTGGAGAGAGTTATATGATAAAAGAAAAGTTAGGCATAGAGCATACAATGGCACGGGTGGCACTGAGCATGGGGAAACTATTACCAACTAGATTACTGGAGTACTACTGAGTAAGGACCAAAATGAAATTGACATAGGAAGGGAAATATACCAGAATGTGTTTTAGGTGTGTGTATGTCTGTGTGTGAAAGCACGCGCGCAAGAGAGAGAATTAAGCATTTAAGCAGTAGATACATATAATTGGGAACCATCTTCTTACAATTTCAGCCTTATAACTATTAACTTGAAATTAACATATTAAATTATTATTGTTGTGTATTGGAAGATAAAGAATGAGATAACATTTTTCTCTCTATGTTAACGGCAAATGATTCAATCTGAGAGAAGAATGCAAGCTTATGGATAAACTCTAATTTATTCCCCATTAACAACATTTTAGTACCTCGATTGATGGCTCTCTCTACAAAATGATGACATCTTGGCTCCTACCAAGCAATAGACTGTACTTACCTACTAAATGAAACAAAATAAATACTACTAGTAATATAAATATAATGCCTCATGAAAGATAATAGACACACATTTAATAAACTTGGATTCATATAGTTTGATTAACGTCAAACAATCTCATGGCCATCCCTTGAGAAGCATACAACTCTACTCAATCATAGATGCCTTAAAAGTAATATACATCTTCAGCCTACTCTACCCCAATAAACCTCCCAATTTCATATATATGGATTAGGCTTATACTTTACCCAATAAACCCCACATCTTAAACACCTCCACAGTTCATACGTACACAGGCACAAAGATAGCCACAAACACCTCGAGCGCACTGTTGATGGGATGAATGTGTGTGTGTGTGTATAAAGATGCATAAATCTTTTATAGAGAGAGAGAGAGTAATTGCTTGTTGATTCATTTGAATCGTCTGAGAAAAACGTAACCAATGAAGCCCGACAAGGACGGTCAAATTAACAAATTCGAACAATTACGGATCAAAACTCATAAATCAAAGCTAAATAATTGACCTAAAGATCAAATGTCGTCAAAAAGATGCGCCTTACTCGTGGTACAACAATTAATCAACGAAATTCACTAAAATTATTGTCTTAAAGGACTCAGAATTGGGGGTTTTTGTTAGTCGTTTGAGGTACTATTACCTCAATGTGTTTATGCTTCTTGGAGATCGAAGCTTGAGTGTCTTGTGAAGTGAACTCGTCAATATCGATATCCATAACCCTAGATTTTTCGGACACGAGTGATCAAAACCCTCCACAGTTGAACTCTGCAAAGTAGATGGTACAATTAGAGCTTTAGAGAGAGAAGTGAGAGAGACTTGGCAGAGAGAACAGAATTATACGGAGTTAATAGAGAGAGAAAGACACAACTTTGTCGAAAAGGTAGAGAGGGAGAGAGTCTTTAAGAGTGGTTGTACTTTAGAAACGAGAGTCTATTCGCGAATTCTTAGGTAACTTCGCTATCGTACGCAGTAAGGAAAGGATAGCAAGATAGTAAGTGGCCGCGTCTATCATTATTAGAGATTTCTTCATGCGTCGACCACAAGTTATTAGATTGTTATGGTTTATTGATACTCTGTGAATAGTAAAATTTAGACTTTTATTATAGATGTTTTGGTAGTATTGTGAGTTAGTGTTTTTGATGAATTTTATAATGTTAAATTTCGATTTTTTGTATTTACTAATTTAATTTTTAACACTTTTTGTCTTGTATAAAAAAATTAAAAAAAAAAAAAATTAACAACGATCTGGATTGAATTGGTCCACCACGTATTAAATGGACCCTAAGAGCATCTTCAGCAGTATATTAAAATTTTTTGTGTAAATCTGATGTGTCATAGAAGATTTACATAAAAAAATTTGTAATAAATATTTTTAGCTCCAACAGTTGTTTTATACCTGTTGTGTAAAAAAGTATCTTCCAATAACAACCAACCACGTATCATACCCAATGTCCTACATAACTTTTACAAACCTACTTTATTCAGTTTACTTTTTGGTGATTAAACCTCACTTCCCAATCCTCCTCAATTAGGGAAAAAAAAAATAATCATTTCTCCCTATATTTCACTTTCACATCCCACCAATAGCAAATCTTTCACGCCATCGTCACCGGAAACTTATAACAAATAATAAAAATAAGATTCAAGTATGTAGACACTACGTGATTAAAATATATATCTAATAATTTGTTAATACATATTTATTTCATTAGAATAGAATATAAAAGGATAAAAATCTAAAAAAAAAAAAAAAAAACCCTACAATCTATAGTATGATTACAAAAGATAAAGATTAAACGAAAGTGATGAATCAAACTATGTTTATTAAAAAAATATATAAATGAATAAAAAATAGTCGAGCAGTTCTTACTTTGCCGCCAGTTACAAATTCTTCTGCATTACACTCTACAAAAGTGGGAAACAAAAAGTCGTAAAGGAATGAGAGAGAAGAAAGAGAACCGTGAGTGGGAAGGGGGGAGAAGAGGGAAACAAAAAGTCGTAAAGGAATGAGAGAGAAGAAAGAGAACCGTGAGTGGGAAGGGGGGAGAAGAGAGAAAATGTAACAACCCACTCCACCATATGGTATGATATTGTCTGCTTTGGGCCTAAGCCCATACAGTTTTGCTCTTGGGCTTCACCCCCAAAAGGGGTTATACCAATTGAAGTGACACACCTACATATAAGCACTTCACCTTTCCTTTACTCAGGCGATATGGGACTGTGCACTCATAACTCGCCAGTGTGGTAGCTTGACAGTGTCTCACACCTGCTCACGGCACACCCGCCCACAGGGTCATCACAATCCACCCCCCTTAGAGGCCCAACGTCCTCGTCGGCACACTTCCAGCTGGGTCAGGCTCTGATACCATTTGTAACGACCCACTCCACCACATGATATGATATTGTCCGCTTTGGGCCTGAGCCCCCACAGTTTTGCTCTTGAGCTTAAACACTTCACCTTTCCTTTACCCAGACGATATGGAACTGTGCACTCGTAGCTCGCCAATGTGGTAGCTTGACAGTGTCTCACACTGGCTCACGGCACACCCGCCCACAGGGTCATCACAGAAAATATGCTTACATGGCAGTGTAAAAGTGTTGTGTAAAATACACAACCCTTTTACACATTGGTGACGTGACAGTGTATCTTAACAGACTGCTGGAATTACAAATAATATGTGGCAGTGTATTTTACACAAAAGGCTTTTTTAACAGACCGCTGGATATGCTCTAATAATTTTTCTAATAGTTGACCAATCACACTGGAATATAAGAATCTTATGGTTTTGAACTTTTGACCAATGAGAACATTGCACTCTTTATTCTTTAAATGGAGCTTGGATAAGGTGTTGTAGACCGTTGGATGCAATACAAGCTCTACAACACTACAAGTTTATTTTAATTTGTGCTCTATTTGATTGAAAGGATGAAAAAATGGATGAAAGGGAGAGGAGGAGAAACGGACAAGGCATTTTTAGGGAATGGAAGGTGTCTCCCTATATAGAATGGATAGTAAAAATGATAGATGGGATAATACATTTTTTGTTTGGTTGGAAGAAAAGTCAAGAGAATTTTTATATTAATTTTACCAATATACCTTTATTAATACAGCCAGGGCTTAACAAGCAAACTTTTGGAAAGGTTAAAAATGTAAATTAAATATTTGTTAGTTATAATCCTTCTCTCTCTGTTCTTCCACCATTTTTGGGCGGATATGAAAATACGAATGGATGAAGGATGTTTTATCCCTCTTTGTTTCTTACTTATCTTCCCTTCCTTCCAATAAAAAATGGAGCTCTCTCCTGTCCTTTCATACATCCCTCTCCAACCAAACGTACCATTAGGTTTTGTTTAATAATGGATTTTACTTCCATAGCGAAGCAAAACACATAAACGTATTATGTGACCTTTTCTACTATTTGAACTTTGTTTCCACAAAAAGAACAAAACCGAAAGCATTAATTGGTTATTTCGGTGTTATACCAACAATAATGCAACAATCAATATCCATAGTTTGAACCCAGATTAAAATACTAGATGCTACCTACTACGAGTATCTTTTTCATTACGAAGTCTGAAATAACTTTATATTTCTTCTCAAGACAAGACAGGTTTCATGATATTAATGTTTTATAACTCCATCGAAAAAAAATGTTTCGTGACGCTGAGAATGGAAAGAAGAGACTGGAAACAAAAAAAGTCAATCTGCTCAATTCTGCGAGAAAAACTTAATTGCGCCAATTGTATTAGTGGAAAGAAGAGATTGGAAACAAAAAAGTCAAGCTTCTCAATTCTGAGAGAAAAACTTCATTGGGCTGATTACCTCTTTTTTTTTTTTTTTTGATTTGGCATGGTTAGTGAGGTTAGAGAGTTAAAGGTTAAAGTGGGAGGGGAAAGATGCTGGTGGGTTTTGAACACAAGCCAAAGGCCTCAAACAATACATGTCCTGTTGCTGGGCTAGCACCAGACCTACTATTTGCGTTGATTACTAACTAACGAGTAGTGATAAGGTCCACTTTTACTTATGTGACAACATGATATACACATATAACAAAGTATTAAAGGTGTCGAGAATCCTTTCTCCAATTCTTCAGTAAGCAGACTTAGGAGGAATAGCCCTTGTGAAGTTTTTCAATCGAGTTTGAGGAGCAAGACAAATGAGGTTTTTAATAATCACAGCAAAACTATTTTAAACTTGTATGATAGGATTCATAAGACACCTTTTAGCTTCTCAGGATTGCATTTCTGTTCGACTCCAACTTAACAGAGATTGTGCATAGAGACTCATCCTCCAAATATGTGTGTGTGTATATATATATATATATGTATTGAATGAAATATCCATATTGTACAAAATCGTACTCTCATATCCCCTCGAGTCCTTTTATCACAAGTTGATAACAAAAGGATACTCATTCAATTATGAGAAGAAATTGGATATACTCATGAACAGGAAAATACTAGAAATAATAATATCGAGAGATTATCATACAACTATGTCGAAAATAAATTAATAATGGCTATGACAGAGGATAAAATGAAACATTAACACACCATATGAAGTCCTCCTAATGGGCATGAGGCAGTAAAAAGGCTTTCAATGTTCTTCAAACTTCAAATTCTATAACTAACTGAAATCGTCTTGCAAATGGTACAATTCAGCCATGGCCTAACATATCTATCACTCTAATTCACGCTTCTTTTAGGAGTTGATCCTTAATAAATCTATTGACAATCTCCAAAACACTACATTTCAGAACAATTTATGAAAATTTGTGCCTTTTTTTTTTTTGAATTTCTGTTCCATAAAGTTTGAGGTGTATTAACTAGCTATGAACGAACATGGTACAGAACTAATTCCCTGCATTCAACAACCTTCAGAAAGTACTTCAAGAAAACCAAATTTCCCCGCACAAAGAAATTCGTTTCTCCACCGGAAGAATAAGATTTTCACCGCCTTCGCAAACACAGTTTTTTCAAGTGTGTCTTCTGTGAAACCAAAGCACCCTGAATTGCTGCTATCCTACATGAATGTCCTGTAATCAATTGATATGTTGATGGCCTTTCCCATGGGACGACCCCAAAATCATCGTTATACTCTTCCATTCCCTCAATCAAGAACTGCCAGACGAAAGATCCAGCCCCAGACCCCTTTTTCTTTGCAGATTTGTATACGGCGTCAAAAACAGTTTTGTATAACCTGTCCCGCTGAGAAGGCTCAAAATCCTTGTTCAGGTTTGACAATCCGAATTCAGTAAACATGACAGGTTTCTTCAGTTTCTGGTCACCATCTTCAATGTGTGAAGCCATCCATTTGGAGATATATTTCAGCTTAACATTAAGTTTTTGCGCCTTTAACCTATCAAAAAGAGAAAGGAAAGTAATGGACTTTAGATCAACTGAAGAATCACGCAAAGACTCTGGGATATTTAATTTACAGTCACTGTGAAGTTGAACCAGAATATGGACCTCAAGAAGTCTTCTAACAAATTTCAAGAGGAGTTTGAATCGATTATTGAACAATAACCAAATGAAAAAGGTAAAATATAAAAACTTTTGTCAAGTTCTGTTCAGCGGGCAATATCATAAAGGTTTTTTCAAACAACCCCAAGTTTTTGCTTTCTTTCCTCAAATGAGATATATATACACCGCTTTGATTCACTAGATCTAATTGCAAATATTGGCATTATATGAAGTTCAACATTATCAAAAGCTTACCACTGATCAGGATATATATGAATTGAGGCAAAATCAATGGTTGAGATCTCATTGTTGCGAATAAAATCAGATCCAAGTCTGGATGCCCACTCTTCTGGGGGGTTGACTGTCAACCTTTTGGGATTTTTAGGGCCATAAAATCCTTCTAGGCCCAAAGTCAGTAAATGGTTCTTGTCAATTGATTTCACGAAAGTTGACATTTCTTCTATCCATTCCTGCAATTATATTCATACATTAATTCATACTTGGACAACATTGAACAAACAGAAGAAGAGAATCTCTCTCTCTTTCAATCATTGACTCTCCCTCTCCGAGTAAATCAAAGGGAAATGAGTCCTTTTGGAATGTACACAAACAAAAGGAATAAGAACAGATAAAGAAACAAAGAATTACATACGCATGCGCACAACCACATAGACATTAGAATCCTTGACTGATAAAACTGTTATTACAAGAAATTTAGTAAAATATAATTTATTCACAAGGGAAAAACTACGAATGAATAAATATATATATATATAAAGCAGCAAATGTGAGTTTGACAGGGACCAAGTCAAAAGTACTAGCTGCATGTTGAAGTAATTCAATGACTTTGATCTCATTTATGCGAGTTTTAACATAAAGGGCAGTCACCATACAGAACTACCAGAACTAAGCAACACTACTAGAATGGTACCCTGCCCCGGTTTGTATAGTGGAGATTAATTATTGTAATGCAGACATACCCCTTCACTCCACTGACATTTGATAGTGATAAAATATACAAAAGGTTCATTGAAGATTGGATAATAATACAAAGTCACTAATTGGACATATCACTAGCATCGTAACCAAAATCTAAAAGCTCTAGAAATATATGCTCTACTCGACTCAACAAAGCCTTTTCCCAACTACTTGGGGTCATGAATCCTATTTTTCCATTCTAGATTAAAAGTTCTGCAACTATATCTAGATTAGACTTCAGGAAGTTGAAAGGAATAAACAACTTACTTGGAGAGTATCGCCAGAAGGATCAGTAATGCAGCGGGGCTCGTTAATTAGCTCCCATGCAAAGATGGTTGGATCATTCCTATATTCAATTCCAGTGATAGTATTCTTCCTTGTCAGCACAGTCTGCAAAAAAGAAGTTTATTAAACTTCATGAAAGATGTTACAGCAATAACATTGTTTAAGAACTCAATAATAATATCATGAACTAAACTAGGAAAAAAAATATATACCGCGAACTATGCAGCAAACCAGGAAATATAAAGCCTTCTCATGATTTACGCTGCCAAGCCCAACATAGTTGGAAAGTATTTATTTATCACTTTGTTGGTAGGTTATTTGACACAAAATAATAATATAGAGCCTAAGCTTATTGTCAGAATCTTTGCATAGAAAAAAGAAAAAATTATTTTCAAAAAATTGGTGAATTTGTATTCTACTTATTTATTTTCTCTTGTTAGGTTATTTATTTTCTCTTTAGGGTGAGGGACGCGGTGGGGGGGTGGGGAGGGGAGTCGTCTCTCTTCTCCAACTCAAATCGAAGTGGATTTGTAGAAGCATTGGGTAATCTTTCTTAGAATTGGAATCTGTCACTGTGCCAAAGAATAAACACTGGATGTGGTAAAATTCACTGCTTCATGTCTTCAAGGTGACACCATAATCACAATCTGAATTTATCAGAATTCCAACAGTCATTCAAAAACAGGACATATATTCTTTATTTCATCTTGTTATTCATCATGTTTTTCTGCTCTTGCACGATGATCGAAGAATTTCTTCTTTTCCCGAGTTCTTGCATGATAGTTGAAGAATTTCTTCTAGCCTTAATCATGATAATCTGACTAGCGTCTTCTTTTTCTTGATCAAAATTTTATTTTTTAATACAAATGCTCCGATGGGTCATTAATAGAGTCTTTCAGTGGAAACTTATTCAATCCATTATGTTTTTACAGTTTAAACAACATTTAAACCAAGTCATTGTGCTTCCGAAAGTATTTGAATGGCCCTATTGTCTCCTTAAAATTGTCTTGCACAGAGGCATTTTAGAATTTTAACGTATGATCTCATAAGATCTGTTCATCATCATAAGAACTTTGGATCAAAGTACAGAGTTTAAATATAAAAAATGTATCATAACAGCCCATCAATGTCAGCCTTGAGATGGAAAAGAACTGTAATATTCTTAAACTTGAAAAGGAACACAAACGTCTAATTGATATGTAGATATATTTTAAGGCTCTCCAACAAGACTAAATCAAGTGAATTTCAATTTGACTATATAGTTATCTTTTAGTAAATCATCATCCTTGCCTTTTATCCCATATAGATGGGGGTCTACCACATGAATTCTCTTTTTCCATTCTTTCCTGTTACACATTGTCTTCTCTTAGATATAATTTTTTCAAATTGTTTCTAATTACTTCATCTCACGTAAGTTTTGCTCGGCCTCTTTGTCGCTTACCTACTACACAAACAACTCTTCCTCTTTTAATCGGTGCATCATCAGATCTACGTTGAATATGGTCATTCCACCAAAGTCTACTTTCCCTAATTTTATCATCTATAGACGCTACACCTAATATTCCCCTCACAAGCTCATTACTTATCTTTTTAAAACCTCCTCATTTCTGCTACATGAATGCGTTGTACTTGTGTCCTTTCCAAAGCCCAACACTCTGCTCCATACAGCATTGTATGGCGCAGAGTGTATGGAGCAGTTATCTTTTAGTAAATAACCTCAAAAATTAACATCGTAAAGATTTCTTATAGATTATAGAAAAGGGAAAACCAATGAGATATATAGATTACCTTGAGATAACTCTTGAAATAAAGACGGATGGATGGATCATAGAAGAATGAATCATTAGAAGAGCTTAAACCGATGCCCTCTTGCCATGCCCACTTGACATACTGAGTCTTTCCACCATATGCTTGCAAGTTATTAACCAAGCTCAGTAGCAGCCTGATTCCCTGTTGTCTAGCTTCTGCAATGACATGATCCAGTGCCTACCATACAATCCAGTCATTGAATTGAAAATTTCCAAAGCGGGAAAACAATGAGAAATGTTTATTTTTACTGAGATTTATCACCATATACGTGCCAATTTGGCCTTTTGGCACTTATTAAATTAGGCATGATAAAATCTACTTCAACAATCCATGGGCCACTGTTATGAATAAACATGAAAATAAAACAAACTTCAACAAAATATATATAAGATAACCAAACTACCAGCAATTTATGTACTACCATGCATATCGGAATTTAATGTAAATTCTACCAAACTACCAGCAACATATACCTGTCAACTTGATAGGTCAATATTCAACAGGGTTCAGTAAATTTTGTAATTTTACAGGATTTAAGATTGATCCAATAACAACAAAAGAAATATTGATCAACTCAGAAAATAGAAATAACAAAGTAAAGAAAATATGATAAGAAAATGCATATTAATGTTTCCAATTCAGATTCTTTTGAACTCTACATTGGCAGATTAGGATTAAAGAGCAGAACAAAACATCAGTTCCTCCAGGTTTGTTTCTGAGGGATCATCAATTCAAAAGCATTAGATTCAGAAGAGTGCTCCTAATTCCATTTCAACCATTAATGTGTAAGATGACCATTATCTGAAGCAGAAAGTTCAAACAAACATACAAATAGATATCTAAATCAATTTTTGTAAACATTATCTAAACTACAAAGCTGAACAAGTGTAAGATGAGCTATATCAAACTAATACAAGAATATGAACAGTTGGAAATTTTCTTATACCTTGAATACTTGCTCATCAAATCTACCAGGCGAAATCTGAAGGGCATGATAGGCACCATCATTGAAGGCCCAAGTTCGACAAACGGTGAGCCCCATCTTCGCACCGGCTTGCAGCATTGCTCTGACCCTGGGTCTGCTGTAACCCTCCACAGCTTGGTCCATCAGCCAGTAAGAATTCCACCCATTAATGTAGAAGGCTCTACCATCCACCATGAACTGAGTCCCATTCCTCTCCACAAAACCCATCTTTGGTTGCTCATCAAAATTGACCCACAAGTCCCCAAAAGACAGGTAAATGAAAGCAAGACATGAAGCAAAGCCAATTGTTGGGTAAAATAGCCCATTTCCTGATACCATTTTCCTTGCTGGTGACTTAACCATAAATCAAATAACAAACCCCACCACCCAAAACTAGAACTAGAAGTGATTCTTGAGTACCCTTTGGACTCCAAATCTAAGCAATAGTCAAAAACACAGAAACCCAGATTAGGGTTTTATACCCTTTAGATCTCTTTAGTCCTAAATCCAATGATAACAAGATCTTCAAGGACACCCAGATCCCTTTCCGTAAAGGGTACTCAAAATTACTTTAGAATACCACAGAACTTCAAGAATCATCAATTAAGCTCAGAACATCAAACACCCATACGAAACTTCACCATACATTTGTAACTCTGTTAGAGAGAGAAAGAGAGAGAGAGAGAGAGATAGAGAGAGGGGGATTTGTATTTTGCTAATCTGATAATGGGTTTTTGTAAAGGAATGTGAACCAATTAAGGTACAGCCAACTTGACCCTACTCAAATTTGACAAAAAAGAACGGTAAAACTTGAATAGGTTGAAGATGGTCGTGGAGGTGTTTGGTGGAATGTTGGTAGCTACCAGTGCCCAATTTGATCTGGGTTCATGTTTTTTCCGAGATTTTCTTCAAAATTTTCTTTTCCTTGGGTAAGATCTTCAACTTTGATATTGTACTGAACAGGCTCATTCAATACTCTTGTTCTTTATTTATTTTTTAATTATTTATTTTCATGTGGCCCTTTTGGCCATCTTAATACTGTACTAAGAGACCATTTAAGCTCTTTCTTTGGGCATAATATATAATTACTATTTGATCGAGCGTCATTGAAATAAAAGAGAACAAGACTTCAAAGTTTGACAATTTCTCTAAAGTCTAAACTTGGCCCGTGATTAACTCCAAACATATGCTACACCTCTACTTTTCTTTTTTCTTTCTTTTTTTGTGAATATTCCTTCCTTAAGCAGGAAAATAAATAAAAATTTAAAAGGTTCAACTTTACTATAATTATAAAATTAAAAACATAATTCAAAATTCATTAAATTGACAGTTGATAAAAAAATTCTTTCTTTCTTTTTTTTTTTAATTCAACTAAATAATGATGATTTTACCATAAATACTGTATCATTTTGGCTCAAATCCCACGTAGCTATCCCCTTATTTCTCTATTCAGTCACATTAAACATTGTCCGCTTCTGTTTTTCTTCTGTGAAAAAAATAAAAAATAAAAGGAGAAACAAGAAAAAATAAAATAAATTGACTGGCCCAAACCACAAAAGTCTTCACGTGATCACTTTATGAATGAAGGGCCATGTGGGCAGGTCCAGGAGGACGTGTTCTAGGCGTTAATTTGAAAAAAATAAAAAAATAAAAAAAACCTTAAGCAACATCCACTTGAAACACTATTAAATCAAGAATATGATATTTTTGTAATATTGTTATATGATATTGTATTCTCAATTTAACTGTCTACTTTGAATAGCGTTGGTCAAAGTTCAATGGGAGAGAATCTAAATCCCTTCCTCTCATATTACCTCTAAATATAATTTAGCAACTGTGCAAAATGTTTTGAGATCAACTTGATGTAATTTGAGGCCTAAAACGAATTTGTTAGACTAGGTCTTTTCATATTGATTATAGTATTAAGGTACTAATGATTTTTAATTAAAAAAATTCTCTTTACCTAACTTGCAAATTTCCGTGAAAGAGAGTCAACAAATTAAATAGTAAATGTTTCAACAAGTATTGGTGTGCAAATATAATTTAAAAATTAGAAGTCCAAAAGGTGTTTTAACAAGTATTTGAAGTAATTAAAATAAACTTAGTATAGATATATATATATATATTCATGAATTTTTTATGTTTGTGTATTGTATTAGTAATTATCAAATAAATACATCTGAAATTATTTATATTACCAAATAAATATATATGCTCTTGTATTGAAGAATACAAGTTTCTTATATATATATATATATATATATATATATATATATATAAGAAACTTGTATTCTTCAATACAAGAGCATATATATTTATTTGGTAATATAACTAATTTCTTAATATATATATATATATATATATATATAATTAATATAAAAGAAACTTGTGTGGACCAATACAAAAGCATATGTTTATTTGGTAATTAATACAATACACAAATTATAAATAATTTATTAAAATATGTATCTATATATATATAACTAATATAAAAGAAACTTGAATGGACCAATAAAAGAGCATGTGTATTTTTTTTTTTCCAATCCAATTATGTGTGTATGTGAACACAAAATACTTTCTCTCCCACCTCTCTCTAACTTTCTCTCTCTATCCAACCTTAGTCTTATTCCCTACGTGCCTCCTGCTCCCTTCTATGGGAGCGGGGAGCAAATAGCTGTTTCCCATTACTACAATAAACTCGGTGTGTTTCAATAAGTGCATGTGGGTATTTTTTATGCCCTTTTTTGTTTTTGTTTGGCTAGATCTGTTCCTATTAGGTTTGTTTTCAGCTCACATGAGCAAATCTGTTATTTTTCTCTTGCTAGATCTCCAATCTAGGTCTTGTCCCGCCTAAGGATGGCAATGGGGCGGGGCGGGGATCTCATTCCTCATCCCCATCCCTGCTGAATTTTTCAATCTCCATCCCCGCCTCCATCCCAGCTTAAAATTTCACCACCACCCCCATACCCGCCCTCGCCCCCGACCTCTTATCCCCATCCCCGGCCCCAGTTTCGATTAACATATATTATTTTTTTAAAAAAACATAATTTTTCTTATTTTCATATATATAATAAATCTAATTTAGTAATAAATTATTAAATGTAAGGGTACATTAGTAATTTAATACTTAATCGGGGCGGGGCGGGTTTACCCCATCCCCGCCCCCGTCCTCGACCCCGGCGGGTTTTCAAAATTTACTCCCATTCCCATCCCCGTTTACATAAAAGGGTCCCCATAACTGCTATAAACGGGGCGGGGCAGGGCGGGGACCCGATGGGGATGGGAAATTTGCCATCCTTAGTACTTCTGCCCAGATTTGATTTTTTTTCTCCTTAATTTGATCTTGTGCGAAGTTTTAGATGTCGGAGTACCTTGTGGTTGTAGCTTTGGAGCTGTTGCCTTACTGATGGCTAGGTCTTTGGATTACTTCTGTTGCTGCGTTTCTCCCATGGTGGTTCCATTGCAGAATTTTAGGCTCTATTTTCTTCACATATTTGGAGCCTATTTTTCATTTTATTGTTTTGTTTCATGATTTATATGTCTTTTTTGGCTTTACTTTTTGTCTTTGTACTACAGTTAGCTTGGCCGCCTTTATGCTTTTGAAATGACCAAAAAACAAAAAAAAAAAATACAATAAACAAGCATAAATAATTTATTAATATATAATCTATATAACTAATATAAAAGAAACTAGTATGGACCAATGCAAGAGCAATTTTTTTGGTAATTAATAAGTATAATATTGCATAAATAATTTAGGAAAAGGAGTATATAACTAATATTATGATAAAGGAGGCCTCTTCTTCTATTGAAGCCTTAGGTACGTCCTCCTATTGACTTGTTTCGCCTCTTCTTCTATCAATTATGGTTGAGTTGTTCATGTAAGGCTACAACTTTTGCTTTCATGATTGTACTTTGTCAGATGAAAATGTTTGCATCCAAAAACAATATATATTGAAATATATATTATATATATATATATATATATATATATATATATATATATGTATTATATTCTATTTCCTACTTCATTCTTTCCTTTTATATATATATTTTCCCTTTCATTCCTTCTTGATTTATTCATTTTGTTTTCCTTCTTTTTTTCCTTAATTTATTCATTTTGTCAACTTTATTTCCTACATATTGTGTATCAATACAAAGTAAACATATCAATAAATAATAAGAGAAATGTAACTTGAGTGGCTCTTGATCCATGGATGTAGACCTTAGTGCCGAACTATAAATATGTTGTGTTATATTTCTCTCTTCTATCTTCTTATTTTACATCTTATATTTCCGCATCATAAATTTAACATGGTTTGTTTGTTTTCCCCGTCACGCGTAGACACTCCTCCGAGTAGATCTCACTAGCGCTACAAGCGCTCCTCCTTCACCGACGGTAGTTAACGCTCCAAAGCCTTGTTCCGACCACTTCCCCAGCTTTGTTCCGGCCATTTCCCCCGCTTTGTTTCAGTATTTCTCGACTTTGTTCCAACTATTCCCGGCTTAGTTCCGACCTTTTATTGACTTTATTCTGGATCTTTTTCATTTCTTAGATGGATTACCTGAAAGTCTCCCAGTGTTGCTCCGGCCCATTTCTCAACTTTGCTCCGACCCATTTTCTCGGCGTTGTTCCGGCCTTTTGGATGTTTTTCGCTCCACCACCGTTTTCTTTTATTTCCTCCTTGATTTACTCCTTTTGTTTCATTTCTTTCCTCCTTGATTTATTCCTTTTTGTCAATTTTATTTCCTATATATTGTGTGTCAACACAATATAAACATATTAAAAAATAATAAGAGAAATATAGCATAAGTGGTTCTTGATCCACGAATGTAGGCCTTATTGCCTAACCACGTATATAATGTATTATTTTTCTTTCTTCCATGTTTCTATTTTACATCTTATATTTCCGCATAATAAATTTAACAATATATACTACGGTTATAAGTTATTATATAATAGTAAATTATAACTTCATATGTGCATAGTGATATATATTTGTTTTAAAAAAAATATAGATGTGGGCAAAATAGATTGGAGCTTACTGTGTGTCATAAATTTCTACCTATAAGGTATATATATATATATATAGACAAAGAACCAATGCTATTGAAGAGTGTTTCACTTTAAAAAAAACATATATACTAATTAACTATAACATCATGTAGTTAGCTATATAACATCATGTAGTTAGCTCTATAACATCATGTTGATAATGACTTGTGTTTTTTTTGTTGTGTGAAATATGACATATAACACGTATGTCTAAATTTGGAATACTCACATAAATTGCATCACCTACAAATTGATTGTTTTGCTGTTTTGCTGTTTTGCCTGTCTTATGAACCTTCAGTTCTACCAATAACCCCAACACTAATCAATGTGTTGGCCCAAAAGCTTTCGTGATGCCTATATATGGGACCATGTTTGGGGCCACATGAAATTATCGGGGCCCAACATTTCGGTTAAAGTTTGTTAGCTTTCGAAGTGTGTGTGTGTGTATTCTAAATACAAAACCAAATAAGATAATGATGCTTAACTAGGACTCGTTAGAAGTTACTATTGTAACCAAAAAATAAAAAAACCTATTATACTAGCTGGCATAAAACACTTTTTAACTTGTTTGGTCATACACTTTTATTACTAATTTTACAATAATATCTTTTAATAGAGTGTTGTTATATTTGATAATAGTAACACATTTTTTTTTTTTCGTCTTCTTTACAAGAAAAAGACAATTAGAGTGCAATAATTCATTTGTGGTCACCAAACACACTTAAAAACAAAATTTTGAAATAAAAATACTTTTTTAAATGGCTCAGCAATTTGCTACTACTACCAAACTAAGAATAAATTGCTGAATAATAATTGTCCTACTTGATAATAAATATGTGAAGAGTAATGGATTTTCATAATAGGAATGAGTAAGATTAATAATATTGATTGTCTTGGTTGTCTTAAACCATTTGTCTTAAAGAATGATGATGATGTATGAATTCATTATTAATTTGTATAAATAAATCAACAAAACCACCACAAAATACCAAAGAAGTAAGAGCCACCGACAGCGGGTATGGAGGCATTATTGGCTATTGCCGACAAAATATATTAAGCGTGACCACCACCAATATTCCAGATCAAGTAATGAAAAGGACTGAACATTAGATTATGAAATTGATACATGATTTGTTGGTTAAGGTACCTTCCAATGCATTATTTCTTTAACCATTTATCACAAATGGATTTTATTATATTCTTTCTCATGAATAGTTGTAATGAATTATTCGAATACTTTTTGATAAATTATTTATAAAAAATACTGGAGCTACTCTTTTTCACTTGATTTGATCTTGTGTGGGTTTGGGTGGTTTTTTCCTGTCTGAGATACCTCGTGGATGTAACTTTGGAGTTGTTGCCTTGATGATGGCCAGACTTTTGGGTCACTCCTGTTACTACTCTTCTCCTTTGGTGATTTTCATTCTTAAAATTTTACTCTTGTTCTCAATAAATTTAGAGTATGTTTTTCATTTTTTCTTATTTTGCTTCAAGATTTGTATGCCTAACTTAACTTTTGCCTTTGTATTATCATTGATGACTTGGCCTTTGCGCGTTTGTAATGATAAATAAAATAAAATAAATAAATAGAGTGACTAACAAGAGCCGCATTTAAAATAATAATAATAATAAGGATAGTACTTATCTTAAATGTTTTATCTTAATCATTAATTGTCACGTGAGTCAATTTTTGCTATTTTAAATTTTATATATTTTTTTATTACATGTTATGTTTGGGAGTACCGAATTCAAATCATTAATTCTGTGTTTCCAAATATATCTTATGTTATGTTTGACGACTATCATCCTAAATCTAAATCACTGATTCCGTATCCCAAATATAATATTAGTGCATTTGAGATGAGTTTATTTTCAACATTTCAGTTACCACTAAAGTATAGTGTGTCTATTATTCATGACATTTTCTATTTGATTATCAATTAGCAACTATGATTGTGACCTGTCTCTCCCTCATAATCAAAATAGAAAATCTTGGGTTGTTAGGACTTCCCCAAATAAGGTCAAAAGTTGAAAACCAATTGATTTGATTAAAAAAAAAAAAAATTGACATGAAAACGAATTCGTAAACAATATGTATATATATTTAAAGAACTAGGAAGAAGGTCCAAGTTATATTACATAGAATGATTATATTTCAAACACTTTTTTATCCACTAAAGTAGTGTTTCTGTTCTTTTAAGTTGAGAGAGATTGACCGTAGAAGAATGTAGGATGCTGCTTTCTAGCCCTTCTTTCTTTCTTTATGCAGTTTTTGTTGTCTTCACAATCAAGTGAGACAAATTGGAAGACTTTTGATTAGAACCTCATTTTTTTACACACCTCTCAAGTTTTTCTTTATACGATCAGAACCTTTAAATATTAAACAATTTGTACCTAATTTGTCAATACTTGGTGCAACCTTATATGTTTACATGTCACAAAGAATCAAATCCCCTCCTGTGCAAAGTGAAGATGGTAATGGACCTTCCTCCAATTAAGCAAAAAATCTCTCCACGGGATTCCCCGTCACTTCTCTCCACCGGATTCGTCGCTTCCATGATTTTAGGACCGTCAATGTGAAACATTTTGTAGAATTAGACTTTTTCTTGTACAGTTTTCAATTTTCAATTTTTTGAAAACAAAAAAATGGTTAAAATTCCATTCTTCCATTAGACATTAGAGTTGACGCTATTTATAGAAGAAAGTTTACAACACATTTGAAAATAGCCTAAACTCTAGGAGTGACAAACGGCTTAATTAATTCTATAAAATGTTTCACCACTCTAAAATCATGTAGATGGGAAAATTTGCTAGAGTGGTTTGACCTTGACTGAAGAAAGACATATTATTATCTATATATATATATATATATACACACGAAAACAGCAAGACACAATGTGCTCCATTATCAATATCAAGTAACAAAAAGTACCCAAAAAAGGAAGTTTCAGAACTGAATAAAAAACGATATTCTTTTTCTTATTGGGAAGTGAATCAAAAGCATATCCAAAAGATACAAACACCATAGACTCAGATCTGCTCATCTTCTCCAATTGGCACTACTTCACAGCACAGAAACAAAAATAACCAGCTCAGGAAACCTGTAATTCTCAACCATTTCAATCCCAATTCATCCATTAAAGAATACAGAAATCAAATTACATTTCTTATTCAAACTAATCATATTTCTCCCTCCAAGAATAAACCAAAAAGAAGACCCAAGAAAGTGACAAAATGAAATCACCAACAAATTGCCTTGGCCAATCATGAGCCAAATCTTCAAGCCTCCTCTCAAAGAAAACCCTCCACAGTGCCATTGAAACATGGAGGAGGACACATCCTTTCGCGAAAAAGATCTGAAACTCAATGTCGTTAACAAAAGCCACCATAAACAGCAGAAACCCAATTACAAATAGAAGCAAACCCACGAATGAATCCGAGATTTGTATCAGCAACTGATCGTGTGGCGTCGATCCCAACAGCTTCCTAGCTGTTTCAATGCCATGACCAAACACTGAGATTTCATTCAGATAGAACATTATCAGAGCACCACATGTTAGAGCTATACTTGAATGGAGAATGCAGATTATGAAGAACCCGGATGACCTCATCGATCTAAAACAAGATTTTTCAGCTGAATTTCCAACTATTTCATGGAATATACAATGTCTGACAACAAAATTTACATTCTTGATGACTCAAAGTTGGGAGTGAAAGTGAAGACCTAATAGAAATTTAACAGTTTATAGGGTGACTTTAATGATCTAACATTGGGATTGGGTTATGCAAATTTGACCCGAATAACAGGGTAATCATCACTCTTTTTCATCCTCAAAACCATTGAGATTCAACAATTTATGAGGTGTACCAATAGTGGACAATGCGAGTTGATAAAACCCTTGAATCATTTAGAGTTTCGATGTGTGTATATATATATATATATATACAAGATATATAGGTAGAGATAGAGGAAGGATCTGATCTGGAATTAAGATCAGAGATGTGGAAGCCATAATCCTATAATAGAGGTTCACGTGAGGGAGGGAATACGTATAGAGAGGCGTGCAGTTGAAGTTGGATTGGAAGGTTTTGTCGGTTAGAGACCGGAGGGAGTTCGTTGCCCAAAGTGTTACAAGGGTTAGGCCACTCTGCTTGTTTGGATGGAAAATCAATTCCAGAGGGACTTTCCAGGAAAATTTGACTTTCCAGAAAGATGGTATTATGGTGACAATATTTTCAGTAGAAATTGAAACGAAGCTGGGGTGGGTATTAATTTATGTTCCTTTTTAGACTTGGGGCTGATTAAAAGGAGAAAGATTTGCAAACCTCTTCGAAAATCACAAAGCCTTATAATAATCTTATAACCCCCAAAGCCTTGTAATCTTTATGCTTTCCCGAAGGACCATCACTTCAGCGACCCCAGCATTATCAACATTGTGGATAAAGAAGGAAGCTAATGGTCTATCATCATACTTAACTTTCTGACAATTAACCCCCACCCATTCATTTGTAGAAGAAAGATGAGCAGCATCAAAATTAAACTTAAGCATACCAATTGCCGGAGATACCCATGAAGACGACACAGCCAGAGAGGAAACATCAACAATGTCAATGGCTTGGTGTTGCCTCTGACCATCATTAAATTCAAAAAATAAATAAATAAATAAATAAGTAAAAAAATAAAAAAATTCATCTTGTTGAGCACCCATTCATTCCTGCACTTTCATAATCTGCGACAAACAAAGGCAGCTAAACTCAAATGCACATCACCCCTTTTCATCAATTTCCACATATCACACAGACTTGAGCCCACCTCTGTTTCCACCACATCCTATCAGTAGAATCGAAACTCAACCTTAAAGGCCATATCTTCCACACCAGTTTAGCAATCGGAGGTCTGCACAAGCTGGAACCTTCACCATGAAAGCTAATTGATATACCATTCTAATTAGGACCCCAAACAATCTGATCCTCCCCTGCAGATTCTCTCAAAGGTAACTTCAATATAAGCTCAACATCTCTGCAATTAAAAGTCTCCTTTACAAGATTTTCATTCCATAAGTGGAAGAAATATTTATCAGATCCACCACTCTTTGAACTGGTAGAGATCTATTTACAGGTAACCAATCATCCTTCCAAACATCAAGTCTTTTTCTTCTTGAACTTATTTCCTCCCCATTTTTTTTTACTTTTCAAGTCTTCTTCATTGTCCAAAAGTAACTAATGAATAAAGCCCTCTTCCCTTTAATGATTTAATCAGTAAATCATTTAATACCCTCACAAATAAAGCATTAAAGCTAAAGAGGTCTTCTGTGATGCCTTTTCAGGTTTGACAAGAAATCCTTGTTCAGGTTTGACAATCCGAATTCAGTAAACATGACAGGTTTCTTCAGTTGCTGGTCACCATCTTCAATGTGCGAAGCCATCCATTTGGAGATATATTTCAGCTTAACATTAAGTTTTTACGCCTTTAACCTATCAAAAAGAGAAAGGAAAATAATGGACTTTAGATCAACTGAAGAATTGTTGAGATTTGATCTCTTATAGTACAGCTGTATGATTGCATTATTTTTTCCCTGATTTAGGGCTAATTGGTAGGTAATTAGTTACCTATTTTAGCTAGGTTCTGTTCTATAAATTGGATGTAACACCATCAATGAAAAAGATAATATAATTTCAACCCTTATATTTTTTTTTCTCTGAATTGAAACAAGAATCGGGCAAAGACTCTGGGATATTTAATTTGCAGTCACTATGAAGTTGAACCAGAACATGGACCTCAAGAAGTCTTCTAACAAATTTCCAGAGAAGTTTGAATCGATTATTGAACAATAACCAAATGACAGAGGGAAAATATAAAAACTTTTGTCAAGTTCTGTTCAACGGGCACTATCTTAAAGGTTTTTTCAAACAACCCCAAGTTTTTGCTTTCTTTCCTCAAATGAGATATATGTACACCACTATTTTTCACTAGATCTAATTGCAAATATTGGCATTATATGAAGTACAACATTTTCAAAAGCTTACCACTGGTCAGGATATATATGAATTGAGGCAAAAGCAATGGTTGAGATCTCATTGTTGCGAATAAAATCAGATCCAAGTCTGGATGCAATTGCTTCTGAGGTGTTGACTGTCAACCTTTTGGGATTTTTAGGGCCATAAAATCCTTCTAGGCCCAAAGTCAGTAAATGGTTCTTGTCAATTGATTTCACGAAAGTTGACATTTCTTCTATCCATTCCTGCAATTATATTCATACATAAATTCATACTTGGACAACATTGAAAGAAGATAATCTCTCTCTTTCAATCATTGACTCTCCCTCTCCGAGTAAATCAAAGGTAAATGAGTCTTTTTGGAATGTACCCAAACAAAAGGAACAAGAACAGATAAAGAAACAAAGAATTACATATGCATGCGCACAACCACACAGATATTAGAATCCTTGACTGATAAAACTGTTATTACAAGAAATTTAGTAAAATATAATTTATTCACAAGGGAAAAACCACATTTAAATATATATATATATATATAGCAGCAAATGTGAGCTTGACAGGGACCGTGTCAAAAGTACTAGCTCCATGTTGAAGTACTTCAATGACTTTGACCTCATTTATGCAAGTATTAACATAAAGGGCAGTCACCATACAGAACTACCAGAACTAAGCAACACTACTAGAATGGTACCCTACCCTGGTTTGTATAGTGGAGATTAATGATTGTAATGCAGACATACACCTTCACTCTACTGACATTTGATAGTGATAAAAAATGTGAAAGGTTCATTGAAGATTGGCTAATAATACGAAGTCACTAGTTGGACATATCACTAGCATCTTGACCAAAATCTAAAAGCTCTGCAAATACATGCTCTACTCAACTCCACAAAGCCTATTCACAACTACTTGAGGTCATGAATCCTATTTTTCCATTCTAGGTTAAAAGCTCTACAACTATATCTATATTACACTTCAGGAAGTTGAAAGGAATAAACATCTTACATGGAGGGTATCGCCTGAAGGATCAGTAATACAGCGGGGCTCGTTAATTAACTCCCATGCAAAGATAGTTGGATCATTCCTAGATTCAATTCTAGTGATAGTATATTCTTCCTTGTCAGCACAGTCTGCAAAAAGAAGTTTATTTAATAGCAATAACATTGTTTAAGAACTCAATAATAATATCATGAACTAAACTAGGAAAAAATATATATACAGTGAACTCCGCAGCAAACCAAGAAATATAAAGCCTTCTCATGATTTACGCTGCCAAGCCCAACATAGTTGGAAAGTATTTATTTATCACTTTGTTGGTAGGTTATTTGACACAAAATAATAATAATAATAATAATAATAATAATAATAATAATATAGAGCCTAAGCTTATTGTCAGAATCTTTGCATAGAAAAAAGGAAAAGAAAAAATTATTTTCAAAAAATTAGTGAACCTGTATTCTACTTATTTATTTTATCTTGTTAGGTTATTTATTTTTTCTTTAGGGTGAGAGGCGGGGTGGGGTGGAAGTGGGACTGTGGAAGGTCTCTCTTCTCCAACTCAAATTGAAGTGGATTTGTAGAAGCATTGGGTAATCTTTCTTAGAATTGGAATCTGTCACTGTGCCAAAGAATAAACATTGGGTGTGGTAAGATTCACTGCTTCATGTCTTAAAGGTGACACCTGACACCATAATCACAATCTGAATTTATCAGAATTCCAACAGTCATGCAAAAACAGGACATATATTCTTTATTTCATCTTGTTAATCATCATGTTTTTCTGTTCTTGCATGATGATTGAAGAATTTTTTCTTGTCCCAAGTTCTTGCATGATAGTTGAAGAATTTCTTCTAGCCATTGATCATGATAATCTGACTGGTGTCTTCTTTTTCTCGATCAAAATTTTATGTTTTATTACAAATGCTCCGATGGGTCATTAATAGAGTCTTTCAGTGGAAACTTATTCAATCCATTATGCTTTTACAGTCTACACAACATTTAAATCAAGTCATTGTGCTTCTGAAAGCATTTGAATGGCCTTATTGTCTCTTAAAATTGTCTTGCATAGAGGCATTTTAGAATTTTAATGTATGATCTCATAAGATTTGTTCATCATCATAAGAACTTCGGAGCAAAGTACAAAGTTTAAATACAAAAAATGTATCATAACAGCCCATCAATGTCAGCCTTGAGATGGAAAAGAACTGTAATATTCTTAAACTTGAAAAGGAACACAAAAGTGTAATTGATATGTAGATATATTTTAAGGCTCTCCAACAAGACTAAACCAAGTGAATTTCAATTTGACTATATAGTTATCTTTTAGTAAATCATCATCATCATCATCTTTTATACCATATAGATGGGGTCAGCCATCTATATACATTGTCTTCTCTTAGATATAATTTTTTGAAATTGTTTCTAATTACTTCATCTCACGAAAGTTTTGCTCAGCCTCTTTGTTGCTTACCTTCTAAGCAAACAACTCTTCCCCTTGGTGCATCATCTACCTTGAATATCGTCATACCACCAAAGTCTACGTTTCCTAATTTTATCATCTATAGACGCTATACCTAATGTTCCCCTCACATGCTCATTACTTATCTTTTTAA